AGTTGAATTTAGACTGTAGGGTAGTGGGAGAAGAAAACGCAGTGTCTTTTTCTTCTATAATTGGGTTGGTTTTTCTTTTGAACAGCTAAAGAAAGCTTTCAGCTTAAATTGTCTGCCCCATCCTGACAGTGACATGACAGTATGTCTTGTACACCCAGGAGGATGGCCCAGCTTCTGACAAGAAATTGTTCAAAATCTGTATAAGAGCATTCTGAAAGCTGCTCTGAAGACTGATCATTAGTGATGGAGCCATATGTCAGCATGTTTCCATAATTTTGTCTCCTTATTGATCGTCCCCCACGCTCACTCACTGTAAATCTAGAAAGCTGTGCACAGCTCAGATTTGTATGGCTGAGTGTCATCATTAACCAGAAAAAAGCTCTACAGCTTCACTTTGCAGATGTTCGGTGAAGGATGTGCACAGCAGCTTTTACTAAAAGCGAAATGAAGCTTTTCTTTCTCGACAAGAATAAAAATCAATTTAAAATCAATTTAAAATTTCACATAATGCACACGGCTGATGGATTTCTAATGTGGCGTAGTTGAATTTGGTGCTTGTTTGGTCTATAAGCAAAAGCTGAAGGCCATCCACATGCACTGTTTCCAATATTGTGGCCTTGTTTGTTGAAATTTCTGACTCTGGTTGGACTGCAGTCTCACAAAGGTGTCCAATGAGAGCCAATGTCCCACCTTCTCGAGAAACGTCAAAATAATAGTCCTGATTCTTAGTGTTATACATTATTCAGACAAAAATTGTGTGGATTATTAATGATCTGGTGATCGTAGATATGATGATCTCAGGAATTCAGTAAAACCTGAAAAAAATCACTGTCCAATGGAAAAAATCTTCAAATTTTCTCTGTTCTACATCATTCGAGCACAACAGATGCCCTTTACACTGTGTGAACATTTCATTTTTAATGGACCAACACAAAAGCTCTAAAATTAATTGGAATAAAACTGTTTTACGTTAACTTACCGTAAAATTAGTGTTTATGTTGTCTCCTGTAAATTTGCTATTTTGGAAATCCATTTTAATTTGGACAGTAACGCTATGTTGTGTAATCAGAGATAGAAGGAGATATAAGAAAGTAAAAGAAAAAACATTTTGAATTACAAAACTTTAATGATTATGAATTCCTGAATTAAATGTAAATGTTTCCTACAATTCCTCGACATCTGGGAATTGTACAAAATGATAGTTCATATGCTTATATGTTATAATCCTGAGAGAATTTTGGTGATTTTTGTGATTTGTACATCTTGATAGAAATTCCAAGTTTCACATCCAAAGTACAAGGTGATTCAAAAAGCTTCATCCGATTTCAAAATGGTTTTTCACTTGTAAATCATTACAGAACAATGCAGTGAACTGTAAAATGAGCATAAAGTTTATTATGTAATTGTACAAGTGCTCAATCTGAACCTCCTCCAGCTGTACAGACAACATCAACACCATAGTCAAACTCATCCCATACTCGATTGAGCATGTCGGGTGTCGCTGCACTCACGGCTCTTTCAGTGTGATTTCGGAGATCATCCAGTGTTGTGGAACCAACGACGAGCTGTTGGAGGTTCACTGCCCACGAAAATCACGTTGCACAGTTACGACGGATTCACTCTTATTGAAGTGGAGAACGCAGAACGCTTTCTGCTCAGGGGTCTCCATCTCCTGTCAGACTGAAGGCAGCCATCTTCCACTGACAGTCAAACTCTGTGACCCCCTCTTCCAGTTGGATTGTGATTGGTTCCTAGGCGCCTCACGGTTGTAAAAATATGGTGCTTTGAAATCAGAAGAATCTTTTTGAACCACCCTGTATAAATATTCATAAGAATATTGTAATGTCCCTGAGCTTTAGTTTTGAGCACACAACACCACTGTCTTGTGGATATCTTATGAAATATGGAATTTATGAAGAAAAATATGAGGAATGCATGTTTGAAACCAACAGTGCTAAATTAGTAAGAAGGACTGTCTTCTGGATACGTTTGGACATGGAGTGTACCAGCCCCCTCTACCCTGTCCATCAATGGAGTTAAACACCATAGGACCACCACTGACCTTGGATGCTGGAACATTCTTAGCACAGCAATGACACAAACATTTTTGTTGTTTTTCAGTTTTTGACATAATTTGAAAAAGCCTGTTGGTCTGTACATTGTGTGTAAATGTTATGATGAATGGCCCAAAATAAACAGCTCAGAATGACTTGGGGAAAAATTCTGGTCCCATAGACTTACATTAAAAGTAAAGTGTGTTTTATCCTTCTCCTGTAAAGTTACCATTGGGGAGATACAAGATTTTCTTCCAACAACAGTGATTTCAATGTTGCAGGCGTTTTTGAACCACGTCATACGTTGTTAAAATCACACAGACTTAAAAAGGAGGTCTTGCTCTATGTTTAGGTTTCTAATGAAAAATCAACACTATCCTGAGGAAGATATGATGACAGTAGATAATTCACTCACATCATTAGAAGACACATCTTTCAAGTTTAGACTGAGTTCTCTTTGAATTCTCTTTGAATCATCAGATTCATGTCCTTTTCAACACTTCTTGACAATTTTTTTTGTCTGACAGCCTATTTTTTTTAACGTATTTATTTATTCTTTTCTGTCCACTTATCTTTATTTCTATTACCTTGTTACATTTAAAATCTTGAAAATAAAAAAGGCCAATGAGTGTAGATATAAATTAAGCGTTTCTAATAAACTGACAACTCAGAACACAGAGTAGCCTTTTTTTTTGCGGTCTGGCACTGTTATTTTGGTAAAAAGTCAGGAGGCCATTCAGGTCAGTTTCAGCGCTGGTGTGAGACGAGGAGCAGACTTTGCAGGCAGGAGTGATTGCTCTGTGTAGCTCGTCTGTCACATAGACAGCTGTTATGGAATAGCCTCAGGGGATTTTCCATGAAGTGCGAGTGAAGTCAGGACTGACCCTGAGTCTGTCTAAATTCTAAATAGTTAGAGTTGGATTTCTGCTGTGATCTTTTGCAGATTGAATAATGCAGATGGATGCTCTTCTGTTCATTTTTGACAGCTATATTAACAAGTAGGATTCCTGGACTAATATATATAATTTATATAGATATATGTATATAGATATATGTAGATATGTGTGTGTTTGTGTGTGTGTGTGTGTGTGTGTATCTATATATATATATATATATATATATTTATTTATTTATTTTTTAGATATACATATATAGATATTTTTAGATATATGTAGATAGATGTACCGTACATGTAAAAGGTTTGGAAGACATATGGACATATGGAAGAATTTTTTCTTCTTTATTTTTTACAATTTTTCACCTTTTAGGATAAATAATGAGCAATTAGAATCAGTGAACAAAAAAGAGTTAAGCAAATGAAAACACATACTTTTTCTTTAATAAACCTTTTGCTTTGGAAATTTTGTGCCTAAGAATCAGCTGCACTGTTTGTATTTGTCTTAAAAGCTAGAGCAAGCATTTCTATATAAGGCTCTAGATCAAAATGTCTTTTTTGATGATAAAAACATGTATAAAATCCAGAGATCACGAGTTCAGTCACCAGTGATGCTATAGCCGTTTGTGGCCGGGAGTCCAAGAGAGCACAGTTGGCCTGGCCTTCCCTCTCCTCCATCACTCAGCACAGCGCCAGCCAGTGCAGGCGTCTGTTAGCTGACTTAACAGAACAGGCAGTTAGTGTTCTCCTCCAAGCGTGTTGAGCCGTCCAGTGACGTTGCAACTGCAGCGGCAGTTCAAAAAGATGTCGTGGGAACAGAAGCTGGTGAATAGAAAGCCAACATCAGCTTACCTCAATAAATGCATCCTTAATCAAGAAATACCTTGAACGTTTTCTTGTAGATGTTTAATGAGCAGCTAATGAGCAGCTCAGCAGAGCTGTAATCAGCCACTGGAGCTGCTGGACTGTTGAACTCGTCATGCTGCTTCCCAAACCACACACTTCTATACTTTACCTACTACACTAATAAGTGCACTTTCAATGGTATAGATGGTGTTCATTAATCACTACTGCAATAAATCACATAGGATATATCGTTTAAATATGACCGTAACCAGTACTCTTTAAAATAGTTTTAAAACTGAGGGTTCTGGAAAAAAAAGTCTTTGCTGGATAACAAACTGCCACTGTGCTCCTGAGTAACCTTGAAGTTGCCTACCAAAATGGTGGCAGCACAATTGTGTAACATTAACAGAATACTTTAGATTGGACATGACTAAATTGGGTGGACAGTTGAAAAAAAAATCAAAAACGCATACAAGGACGCTTATCCTACATTTTTCTTGTATTTCAGTTATTCTATTGGTATTGTGTACCAAAAACAGTCATTTGTTTTTCTACAACAACTTTTTCAACCTCTCTTTATCACTTACAGTTAAACAGGTTGTTTTTGTTCCTGTCTCTTTAAGACAGATATATGTAAATGACCTCTGCTCTGGTTGGCTGCCTTGTACTGTGTGTCACACAAAAAGCAATCCAGGCTGAAACACTCTTGACTGCTGTAGGCTGAACAGGAGGATACGTGCAAATGTGTTGTGACATCACAAAAACAATAAATTCAAAATGGGCTGTTTTTGCTGCTTAGTTTCCATATATGGACTGTATGGAGTGAAACCTGAACACTGTTTACACACTACGTCAAACTGTTCTATTTAAAAAAAACAAAAAAAACAAAACACTAACAAAATTAGTTTTTTGGTGATGTGGTCCCTTTTACATCGTGTGCCCAAACTTTTGACTTGCACTGTAACTCATGTTTTTGACATTTTTTAAAGACGCATTGAAGATTTCTAAGCTTGTACCTCGTCAGTTGTAATATTGTATTTTGCTTTTAATGGAGTTTGTGATAAAGATGTTATTGACTTTAAGCTTCACTGACATTTGACAGTTATAATACTGACTCTGGTCATGGTGAATAAATCAGAGTTTGCCTTCTTGTATCCGTGTGCAGCTGCTGGTCTTGTTCTGACGAGACTTCCTGTCTTCCACAGACAGCATCGAGGATGACTTTGAGCTGTCCACCGTGTGCCATCGGCCGGAGGGGCTCGAGAAGCTGCAGGAGCAGACCAAGTTCACCAAGAAGGAGCTCCAAGTGCTCTACAGGGGCTTCAAAAACGTGAGGATCTCCGACTCGTCCATGGTCTATTAAAGAGCAGATAAAGAGCATCTACAGGGCTGTTTTATAATCCACACTGTGTTATTGACGAGGCTTGAATCCACACGTTCAACCAAGCAGAGCAGCTTGGCATTGCACAGTGATCTTAGGCTTGTGTGCAGCGGCTCAGCCATGAAAACCCATTTCATGAAGCTCCCGACACACAGTTTGTGCGCTAATGTTGCTTCCAGAGGCAGTTTGGAGCTCTGCAGCAAGTGATGCAACAGAAAATAAGCAGTTTCTGTACACTATGTGCTTCAGCACTTGGCTTCCCAGCTACGTGAGTTTGCATGGCCTACCGCTCCATGGCTGAGCCGTTGTTTTCTCCTAGATGCTTATATTTAACAATAATAGCACTTACAGTTGTCTGGGGCAGCTCTAGCAGTGTAGAAACTTCACTAACTGACTTGTGGTACTGCCATGGGATGCCTCCTTTGCCACGTCACTAAGTTTATCAGTACAACTCATTCTACTGCCAGTCTTTGTCTAAGGAGGCTGCAAGGCTATGTGTTATTTTTTTCTGTTAGCAGGTGCACAAACTTTTAGCCATATAGTATAGGAACACTCCCCCTGATGCTAACCACCTTCAACAAGGGAAAAGCAGTGGTAACATTTTATTGAACACTGCTTTAACTGCAAGACATGCATGTCCAGCATTAGTTTATAAGACTTTATAAAATCTGAAAATATTTCCCTGTAAAGTTGGATCATATATTGTAACATTTGGTCAGGCGAGTTACTCAAAGCGGCGTTTTGTTTTTCAGGAATGTCCCAGCGGTGTTGTGAACGAGGACACCTTTAAAGTCATCTACTCCCAGTTCTTCCCACAAGGGGGTGAGTCTCTCATGTGCCATCTGTGCTCCTTCCTCTCTTTCACTCCCGAGTTATTTATTCATTCAGGAGCATTGAAGCCTGCTGTAAAAGGGCTAAACTGAAGAGCGTGATCCTGAGAATGCTGATGTATTTTAGCTGTTTGGATGTTTATTGTACACTGAAAAATATTTCAAATGTACAAGATGCAAATAATCACGTCCTCTTCGTTCCTCCAGATTCCAGTACGTATGCACATTTCCTCTTTGAGGCATTCGACACTAACAAGAATGGCTCAGTTAGTTTTGAGGTGAGTACTGTTCAGTTATTGTTTAGGATTTTGAGCTTATTTGTGTATTTAATTTGTGCGCTTCATGTGGGCATGGATAAAAACATTAAAAATATGTCTTAAAAGAGAATTAATTAGTTACACAAATGAAGGTGATGTATGGCTGTGGCTTGCAGTCATGTGCAAAAGTTTGGGCACCCCTGGTCAAATTACGTTTTGTTGTTTTGTGAAAATAACACGTCCTCTGTAGAGAACCCAGTTCTGCACATTTTAGTGGATAGTTACTGTTTATTTATTAAATGTAATATAAAAAATAAATAATAAAATGTGGTCTGTGCAAATGTTTTGACACATTTTATGTTTTATTTTTTTCTTTGCAATTTTTGTGCACTAAAATCTGCAAAGAAATTCCATATTTAAGTGTGTTCTCTGTAGAGGATGTGTTATTTTCATTTGACTGAGCGTGTTCAAAATTTTGCATACAACTGTATATAAGAAGGTTTCAATTTTGGGCATACATAAAATGCCTAGTTAGATAATTAAAAGTAAAAATGAATGTTTAATTGATATTTTAAATTCAATATTTAAATATCTTAAATTGATTTTAGATATAAATTTTCCAATTTTCCAACTTTAAGTGACCAGACTCTTATGAATGTGAAAATAATGTATTTTCCTCCTATTTTCTACTCAGAATCTTAGTTTAGGTAATCATTACAAAATGTTTCTTTTGTGTGTGTGTGTGTGTGTGTGTGTGTGTGATGTATGTAAAGAGACATGTACATGAATTAAGGTTAAAAATTGCTAAAAGAAAATTTAAATCTAAAAATAAAGATTTTAACTTTGTTGTTTTTTGCACAGACCACCATTTATATTTTATTTTTTAATTCCAGTATGTGGAATATTTAATTCCAAAATTCAGCACATAACCAGTAATTGTGCATTTTATGATGTTTAGCTATATATATATATATATATATATATATATAGCTAAACATCTGTCTATGTTTTATGTTTAACAAGTGACCTCAGCAAAGCTCACCAGTGCTGCCATTGCCCTCTTACTTCTTGCAGGACTTCGTCATCGGCCTGTCCATCATCCTCAGGGGGACGATAAACGATCGGCTAAACTGGGCCTTCAATCTCTACGATCTCAATAAAGACGGGTGCATCACCAAAGAGGTGCGTCGAGTCCGTCTTTGAAGGCTTTGGGTTGAACAAAGTGATTCAATTTCATTGTAATGCTGAGTAAAACACCATGCATCTAGTTTCAACGGCCTGTGTTTTTGGCTTTCAGGAGATGTTGGACATCATGAAGTCCATCTACGACATGATGGGGAAGTACACGTATCCCTGCATGCAGGAGGATGCTCCCAGAGAGCATGTCGAGACCTTCTTTCAGGTGACCTGCATAGGACCCTAAATATCCATCACATATATTATAAATTTGCTCATTTGTTTTGTTGTTAAAGGAGCAGTTCGGCACAAACTCACACAGCTTTACCTTTATCACAAATGCAGTTGATGAGTAAAGACACGTTTCCTTTGCTTCTTTAGTTTTGCGCTGGAGCCACAAGGCTAATGTAGCTAACAGGGCTGCATGATGAATCGTATTTTTGTTGTTATTGCGATATGACCTTCCAGAATACACACATCATTATGAGCTGCAGTGACAGATCAAATTACCTCACACGTTCATCGGTAAAATCAGGCTGGTGGGAACCTAGCGTTGGAAGCTGAACAAGTCTAATTACAAAATACCAACATGCACAGCTCAAAAAACTACTCTATCCTGAACTAGTAGGCTGGAAAAATGCTTAAACCGCGACGGCTGTTCTCTCAGTGTTATGTGTAAAATGCTTAGCCTGTATGAAGCAGTAATGACTACTGTTACAACAAATCTGCATCATCATAAGAAGTGTTTTAAGGAATTGAATGTATATATGTTCATTTTTGAAGGCCTACATTGAAAATAAATTATACATATTTATTTGCTTATAACTAGATGGATTTTATCATCCAGAAAGAATATAAAAACCTGCCATGCAAGTTTGTTGCGAGGAGGTTGATTGACTTTCTTTCTGCAGTATTAGAGTTTGCAAAAAGACGCAAGACTGTGTGAGCTGGCAACCCTGCCAGTCTTAGCTTAAGTGCTAGCTCATCTAAAAGGGCAGCTCCTCCTTATTAGACATGAAAATGCAATGCCTTAACTAAAAGATTGCCTTGCTTTGATTAATGTAAACATGGTTTCCAGAATCTAGTTTTTAAATTTAAATTTACTTTAAATTGGCCTGCATATTGAGGTATTTTCAGTCATGTACAGTACAAAATTCTGAGACCACACTAAAAATCTGGTATTTTTTCCATTAAAACTTGGAAATAAACAGATTTTACAATCATGATTTAAAACAAGAAAAGTTATGACAATTACTATGAAGCAGAAAGATTTAGAACTCTATTCTAGGTCACTGTTCAAAATGAAGCAAGTATGTGATATTGACCATGTTGAGGCCTTTTGTACAAGAAAATGTCAGATTATATTTTGAGTCTTATTCTCTCAGTGAAGTTCATGTTCAGATGCCTCTCAGGTGGTTTTGATCTGCTCATGAGAGACTTTTGCACAAACATTTCCATGCAGCTCAAGTGCACACTGTCATTACAGCAGTCATTATAGGCCTTTGCACCCCACTGTATGTCTGCACTGAACATGTTGTGAAGCCAGTTTAGTTCCTTTATGCTCCCAAGCTTTTTAATATGCTGCAGATGTTACCAGGTAGCCTGAACTGAGAGTTTGATGGATGTAGCAACAACTAAAAGAGGTGGAATTTTGCAGACTTGTAGCTCCAGTGCAAAAAAGAAGCAATCTTCAGACGCCAAACATGTCTTGGCTGATGAGCTGCATTTGTGCTACACTGTAATTGACATTTTTCTCCAAACTATTCCTTTAATACTGTAGAACTATTTTTAACACAGGTAAACACTATGGCTGTAGCTAAAAGGCTCCATTTCAGACCCAAATGCTGACAGTGTTTTTCAGAGCAGTCTGATGGATCTGCTTTCAATCTGCTCTTTTGTTTCCAGAAAATGGACCGTAACAATGATGGTGTTGTCACCATTGACGAGTTCATTGAGTCATGCCAAAAGGTACACAGCATGTTACTATGTCATCATCATTCATAACACACTGAGGGACGGATTTAGCCTTTTGGGCCAGTTTTCAGCCGCATATATGATTCATTCTGCCTGTGATAAAACTGCAGTACAAGCGTGCACACGCAGTGTATGCGCCATATTTGGGGAAACATGCGAAGCCTATGTATCTCCCTCATGCATGTGCAGTATAATGCAAAACAACAGATGAGGACCTTAGAATTACAACTGTTCACATATTCTGTTTTATTTATTAAATAAATAGCGAATAGCAGCAGCTAATTTTGTGTACATTTTTTCCATGTCTTAAAATCAGGCATGTACTAACAGTAGTGTTTCAAAGTTGCATTATTATAGACTTCCATTAAAGAGAAAGTCCACCAATTTTTCAACATTTCTGCATAATTAAAGGGTTAAGATGTAGAAAGAGTCATTCAGAGTGGACTCCTACCTTGTCAGTCCACCTTGTAGATGTAAAGTCAGAGACGATAGCTCATCTGCTGCTGCACAGTGTGTGTTGGTCATCCTCTAGTCCTTCATCAGTGGTCACAGGACGCTGCCCACAGGACGCTGTTGGCTGGATATTTTTGGTTGGTGGACTATTCTCAGTCCAGCAGTGACACTGAGGTGTTTAAAAACTCCAGCAGCACTGCTGTGTCTGATCCACTCACACCAGCACCACATCAGTGTTACTGCTGTGCTGAGAATGACGTACCACCCCGATAATACCTGCTCTGTGAGGGTCCTGACCATTGAAAAACAGGGTAAAAGGGGGCTAACAAAGTATGCAGAGAAAGAGATGGACTACAGTCTGTAATTGTAGAACTACAAAGTGAAACTGTATGGTCAGTGGAGCTGATAAAGTGGACAGTGATGGTTTATGTACATCTGGCCTTACCTACACTCCTTGGCCATTTTATCAGAAACACCTCCCATATAGGTGCACTTTATAGGTTTACAATTACTGACTGTATCCTGTCCATCAATGGAAAAAAGACCACCACAGTAGATGACAGATCTTTTACACTAACATACCACTAGCATATGGATGTCACTGCTGTGCTGAGAACGGTTCACCACCCAAACAACATGTGGTCAGTGGTGGTCCTATGGAGGTCCTTTTCCATTGATGGATGAGGTACAGTGGAGCTGATAAAACTGTACAGCAACAGATGCAAAGGTGCAACTTCATGAAAGGTGTTTCTGATAAAATGGCCAACGAGTGAAGATATAAGATTTGTGTTTCTGGCAACTCAATGTAAAAACGAACTACGAAAGACTCAACGAAACATGGACAAAGTTCTGGTCCTTCACTCGTTTCTCTTCTGTTTCTCCATCTGTTCTCACTCTCGCCAGGACGAGAACATCATGCAGTCCATGCAGCTGTTCGACAACGTCATTTAGGGCCGTGCCCTGTCGGAGAAGAGGGGACGGGGGCCGAGACGAACGACCCAGACCTGGAACCGGTCAGCCAGCTGCTGACCAGCCTCCTGCCCTCCTGCCCCCTCCTCCATGCAGCCAGAGGACCGCCGTCATTCCGTTTCTTTCTTTCTCCCAGAGACATAGTGGAAGATGCATCAGGGCTGGCTTCTAGACCCACTCCAATAAGTTCACCTTCTTTTTGTTACATTCCTGAAAGGGTTCAAACGGGTCGGCTGGACTCGAGACGTAGCCAGACCAACGTGTCGGACAGCAAACTTAGACTCGGAGGGTAGCATGGACCTTGGCTACGAGCGAAAGGAACTGTGAAACCTGGCCAACAACAAGCTGGAAGTTCTTGCGCGCGGACGACGGCGCCATTGTAACTTTTATTTTTAATTTTTATCCAATCGCTGACTGGTTTTCTTAACGCATGATGTCACAACTAACCAACACTTACTTAATGTACCTATTAAGTTAAGCTAGTCCAAAGCCTGTCTGTCGTCCTGCTCGTCCGTCCACACGTGCCTCGCTCGGACCTGTGTGCTGTCATCGTGTGCTGTCACTAAGAACCCTGGGGCCAAAGCTCCGCCCCCTTAGGCCCCACCCCTTCCGCAGCAGCCGATAGAGAAATGACGTTCTATGCCTGTACATTCCAGAGGGGTCTGCAGACGAGGTGACTCCTTGGCCTTGAAGTCCTTAGCTGTTACCTATTCTGACTGTTCCTTTGCTGTCGAGCGACATTCTTCCTTTACAAACCCATCAAGTGTCTCGCAAAGTAGAAGAATTTTATGGTAGGAGGAAAAAAAAAGAGGAAGGAGTTCTATTATGCTGCATTAGTGTTACCCAATGTTCTCACTGTGATCACATGCGAATTATGAAATCTTCTATCATTACTGCTGGTAATATCTGCAAGCGGCAAAGGCAGTGTGATACATCTCTTCTCGCTGTATCTTATTCATCAAATGAATATTCCAGTTTATCAACGTAGGCATGACTCTAAGATAGGCCAGCGCTCCATAGCACATAGACCAGCAAGCTTCTTCATGCATCGACCGTCCCGCCGACACCAAAGAGATAAGTTCAGCCATGTCTGCTGTTTTCAGTTGCTTACAAAACCCACACAAAGACCCTGAGTAAAAAAACGATGGATTTTCAGTGGAAAAACTAATGAATCAATATGATACTATGCCGAAGTCAGAAAACAGCCTTTCTTTTATTCAGTTCCCAGACAAAAACGGCCATTAAGCACCAGTTATTTCATTTTTCAGTGGCAGAAACGTTTAACCCCTGAAAATCCCAGGCTTATTACACACTAAAGCTTATAAGTTGGTACTTACGGGGACTTCAATACAAACTGGCTGAGCTATTCTTGGAGTATAAAAGTGTGTAATATAACTTGGGGGTCATGGCCATTTAAGGGGTTAACAGCTGTCAAGAGGCTATTACTAACATTTGCACTAGAACTCCGAAAACTGGACATCTCAGATGTGGAAGAAAGCTTTACAGCCTTGTAATTAGGATCACTTGGATTGTGAAAAGCAGAAACTTCAAAGACTGAACTTATCTTATGAAAATATCTCAACAGGTTTCCTGACAGCAAGTCTTGCAAAAAGAACAGAAGCTGTAATAAAGATCATTTAGTGGACAATTTCATATTATATCCAGCTGTTGAGGCTTAAATATGTTTTCTACTTGTTTTGACAATGAAATATGAATAACTTGTGCTTAACGGCCATCTTGGAAACTAAATACATGCAAGGATGTTCTCTGACTTTTGCACAGTACATTAATTGGGCACAGTTGCAGGTAAAACATGGTAAGAAAGAGCTTGAGAAAGCGACAATTGATAGCAAATCAGCCTGGTTACGTAGAATGAGAGACTGTAGACTAGCACAAAGAAGGGAGCTGAGTGATTAGCGGCTACTATAAGCAGAATTGTGAAGCACTGTTTGTTCTTAGTGATACGGAAATGAAGTAAAATCATAAACACTGTTATCAAGCAATTGAAACAGAAGTAGTCTGTCGTACGTGAGGTGTTGGGCTCAAATATGCATGCTAGCATTTAACAATGTGGCGCTCGGGTGGCTCAGTCATGATTATCTTGTTGAGTATTGCAGTTACACCAGGTGCATTGTGGTCCCATCTCTAAGTAATGGGGTCTGATATCCTAAGATATGTGATGGAATTTAACATTGGGCTTTTCTTTTCGTAGCGATTGACTGACAGCTGTATCCAGTATTGAGAGGTAGAGAACACAGTGTCTTGAAATGGGCTTAAATGACCTAAGCAATAATCATTTTGATCAAAGCCTACCAGTATTGGCAGAGTAACATTATCAGTATAGGCCCCCATTTCTGGGCAACTCTCAGTAATAAGTGTTTATGGTGGCAAAACAGTGGTGGTGTCTGTCTTGCAGTGTTGCTCGAGTGTTCAAAGCTTCAATCAGCACGATTTATGCAAATGCCAGTGAATTCATTTCAAGGACTTTCCGACCTCATTCAGTGGACATTTTCCCTTCTCAAAGGTTAAACGGTTGCAAAACACGGCCAGTTACATTCATCATGTTCAGCGTATGAAGGAGTCCGAGGGCAGCGTTTACAAAGATGCTTGGTATCCGTCAAAAACATGCATTGATATGTGCTGCTGGTTTGCTGTAGGGTTGTTTGTGGGCAGACCAGGAATAGTGAGCGGGTAAGGTGTTCAACTGAAAGGGCAAAGCTGTCCATCTAGATTGTTGTTCGTTCAGCTCTGGTGTCGCCACACTAACTAAATTTCCATACACACCAGTGGCGTGTACCGGCGGTTTGCCGCTGGGCAGTACAGTTAAAAATTCATCACGCATTTTGTCGTCATTTCTACCGCCAAGTGAGCCGTACCATACCTGAACACCCGTGATGAATTTGGTCACCCTTCTCGTTGGGGTACCAAGCTAGAACATATCAGGGTAGAAATTGTGCAAACCATTGACTAGTCAAAAGCAATCAATCCCAGAGTGGTCACTGTCAGATGATCACTATTTAAAATTAAAAAAAAAACCTACGTCTTAATGTATTAACGTCACACGCACAGACTCAAAGACGCCCGTGCTCTATGTTTAGGTCTCAAATGCAAAATCAGCAGATAAAGATGTGATGACAGTAGTAGATAATTCACTCACATCCTCGGAAGATGTGTCCTTCACCGAGTTTTAACTGAGTTCTCTTTGAATTCTCTGTCAATCATCAGATTCATCCGTACGGCGAAGGGGCCGAATCATATCCAGCGCCACAAAATGTTCTTCCGCCCGTTTCCACCAGAGAGGGCTCCAAATCCTTTAAACGTAGCGTAGATCTAAAGGTTTAGTCAGAAATAGACATCATTAGATGTCATGAAAGGAGGAAAATGGCAAGGAACCAATACATGGGTAAACCTGGGCGCTTCACAAAGAGGCCATTTCACAGTAGTTAGACTATGATTTCTTCTTAAGAACAGTTGGTGAATGAAGCTCTTAGTTCTTTGTGTGCTTGTAGAAGTAGTTTTCTCACTGAGCTCAACGGTAAGAGGTGTGTTTTTGGGGGATACCAAGAAATTCTTATGAGCACAGCCATCTTGGCCGGACCTTTGGGGTCAAGTGTATAGTGTGTCCTCCCTCGAGCATCTTACTGGTTGGCCATTTAATCAACGTGACAGAAGAAAATTGCTAGATGTTTTTGTGTAGGAGACGGATGCCTCTTATCCATGAGAGTAAAATCAGAATATTCTTCTCAACATAGTTTATTAAGCCTGACTCTGACATAAACCCTAAAAATATAACCGCAAAACATCTGAAGATAAAGCACATGGATAAAGTAATACTCCACGACAGTAATCATCTAAAAGACACCCGAGACAGTTTATTAGGCTTAAAAGTTTCCACTGGACAAAAGATTGACCACCACCATTGAGCGCTTGGTCAAATGGACCTTCTGGGCCACCACACTGGGCTAGAAAGTGACCTCTTGTTTCAGCAGTTCTTTAAAATGTGTTAATATGTATGTACACCATCTTGTGTTCTGGACAACAGGGCACCTTTTAAAAGGAATGGCTCGCCCAAGCATGCTAATGTAGCTAACAATGAATGGAAAGCAATAGCCACCAGTTAGCATGATGTCATATTAATGGTTAGTGGTAGCTGTTCACTTTCATTGGTTGTTAGCAATGTTGGCATTTTATAGAGTCCCAAAGCTATTATAGCAACTTGCTCGACCATCTGACGACTCCTGGTTGCCTAATGTTCTCTCTCCCAGTGCCCCTTTGTGCATTTTCTGGACCATCAAAGTTTTCCCTCCCCATCAGCGTCGCGTGGTGGCAGTCGTGCTCAGAGAGCTGGTTAGCAGGTAACAGTTCCTGTGCACCAGTGGTACCTGTCTATACTCGCATGTACCGTGTTTAGAGCAATGAGAACCTAATAACCTGTCGTATTAACCGTCTCCTTAGCTAGCCTCGACTGGTTGCACTGCATTCAAAATGAAAAACGTGTATATTTTGTACAGAGACAATAAAAATCACAATTGCTATGCACTGACGAGTGAAAGGTGTCTAATTAAACGAAACCGTGTTTGTACAGCATCAGTAGACGGAACTGATCGTGTTCACAGTTAAGAGTTTGTAACTAAACAAGATGTCAAGGGTTTTCAGTAAAGACACTAGTTCTATCTGGAACCATGAGTTCTAGATAGAACCATTTCACGCTTAAATGGATCTTTGCATGGTGAAATCATTCTTCACATTAATGGAGAATGTTCTACATGATTCTATATAGAACCTTTTTGAAAGTTGTTCCATGTAGGACCAAAAAGGTTCTTCATTGGTTATAAGATTGAAATTTTGGTCCTATATAGAGTCATTTTTAAGAAGGTTCTGTACAGAACTCTGTACATCAATCTGAAGAACCATTTCACCATGCAAAGATCAATTTAAGTTTAAAATGGTTCCATCTAGAACCCATGGTTCTAGATAAAATCATTTCCTTTACTAAAGAACCACCTTTTTTAAGAGTGCAGCTAACTTCAGTCTTTGTTTAGTGTATTCTTGGATTTTCTGTCTGATGATGGTGGGTCACCTGTTTACTGGGCTACCTGGCAACCACGGCAACACACACTTACCCAGCTCCAGAGCAGAGAGTGCCCAGCTCTGTGACCAATCAGAGCGAGTTTCTGACCAGCCGAGGACAGCTTTCTGATGGAGGTGATTTTTTTTTTTTTCTCCTTCAGGATGTTTGCAATGTGGAAACGGATCATAATACGTAGATTTTAAGAATATAAAGCACTTATTAGACCAATAAGCACCAACACTGTTATAAATGCTTTACTTTCTCCATGTTTATATATCACTGTTGTTGGAAGAAAAGCTTTTATCTCTAACATGGTAACTTTACAGGAGGAAAAAACATACTTTACTTCTAATGTAAGTCAGTAGAACCAGACGTCTTTCCAAGTCATTTTGGGCCGTTTCTTTTGGTCCATTCTTCATGGAATTCGCACACAATGTAAAGGACGACAGGCATTTTCAAATTATGTCAAAAACTAAAAATGTAAAAAATGGACATACAAGGTTTTCTTCCGATAACAGTGATAGATTTCTGTCATAAGTCACCCAACAGCTCCAGGTTTCCCATGACTGGGATCAGTTTGAGGATCTAAATCTGGGTAAGCAGGTAAAGCTGTTGACCTCCATCATTAAATTAGTGCATTTCTTAGATTCTGTGAAGCTGAAACTCAGGAACTCCAGGCTGAACACGCCGTGTGACGCAGGCCCCAGAGAACACGTCACAAATTACAGGGTTCTGTTAAGGATGTTGGAATATGAATGTTTTTTATGAGACAGAAAAGTTCAAAAAACAAATATTTAAATCATTTTATTTTTGGCAAACAGACATAATAAATGTAAACAGCTGTTTATGATATAAATAATTTTATTTACATTTGAGTATCAAAGAACAACAAAGGGTCTTTCAGCTATAAAACTACTCTTAAAAACGATGGTTCTTCAAGGGTTCTTTAGTAAAGAAAATAGTTTTGTATAGAACCTTTTTGAAAAGGGTTCTATATAGCACCAAAAAGGGTTCTTCTACTGTTACAGCCTTGACATCGTAACAACAGAAGAGCTCTCTTTGGTGCTATATAGAACCCTTTTCAAAAGGATTTATATAGAACCATCTACAGCACATTGTCCATCAATCTGAAGAACCATTTCATGATGCAAAGCTTTAAGCTTGCAAAGGGTTCTTTGAGTGTTCAAGGTTCTATATAGAACAATTTTCTTTACTAAAGAATCCTTGAACCTTCAGCATGACTAAAGGGTTCTTAGCATTGTGACTGTGTTCTTCAGACTGATGGAGAATGTGCTGTAGATGGTTCTATATAGATCCTTTTTGAAAACTGTTCTATATAGCACCAAATAGGGGTCTTCTATTGTTACGATGTCAAGCCTGTAAAAATAGAAGAAAATGTTTTGGGTGCTATATAGAACCCTTTTCAAAAAAGTTCTATATAGAACCATTTTCTTTCCTAAAGAACCCTTGAAGAACCATCTTTTTTCAGTGTGTAGATTCAGTTGTTTGGCAGCTAACTGAGTTATTCCAGCTCTTAAGAAATACTCCAGTGTTTTTAAGCCTTGTCTCTATCCGTCACATCTGTGTATGATATGGACTCTCATTTGTATTATACAGTCAAATATTTCAAATATATCATTTTTATGGAATTTCAAGCGTATTTATAGAATTCAGCAACTGCACACTGGCTTCAATTCGGGATGCAAATCTCTTAGCAAACTGTTTTGACCGGTAACCGACCATCAATCCAGTACTCCAGGTCTACATGAGTCAGACAGTAATCAGATTTCTGCTTTGCAACCAGCCAATAAACTCACAGAAGAAGACGAGACGTAAACGTAACGTAAACTCAAACTTTATGCCATTTTTCCTTTTTTTTTTCATCACCACTTTACCTCAAAATATGAACATACATCATCTAGAAGATGAAGAATATTTAAGTCCTTTATTTCGTGTTTGGTTTCAGCACTGCTCCAAAAGTGTTTTGTTGCTGCTCGCTTATTTCTGGTTATTTCACATGCTCAGACTGAGAAACACGAAAGAAATCAGAGTAAGAGGTCACAAACTGAGAAATCTGATTACTGAGCTAGGCATGAGCGTGTATATGAAGCAAATGCCATGAAGTGTTCCCTTCACAAGAACCCAGTTTGTTTTAAACCAAGGGGCTGAAACTATATGTTCATTATTATATAAACAAGGATAAAAGTTAACAAAGACTGGGATATATAATAATGAGCCCCTGAAAGTTCTAGATTCGTATGTTCTAACATTTTTTTATTATTCAGTTTTGGAATAAAAAAATTGATTTTTTAAAAACGTATCTACCCAAATTCCCACTCCAAATGAAGAATCACCCAATTATGTTTGTTTCGAGTGCATTGGCTTTCTGTTCTTTTCTAAGCACTAGGAGACCTTGTTGATATCTTGTCCATGGTAATCAGTGGTATAATACAGATGTGTTAGTGGTCTAATACAGATGTGGTGGATCAGAATATGCTGGAGTATTAGTTTAAAGCAGTCTGTCTCAATCAGCAGCTTGCCAAACCCATAAATCCAGGTTTATGATACCACCTGCTCACCCAAGCCTGATTTACTGACAAACATAATTTAATGATAGAACATATGAAGGCCTTGAGTCACCCGACTCTAATTTTATTACCATGCAGTGGGGCTTCAGAACAGTGCCATGACGACGATATCAGACCGTTTTATCAGGTATCAGATTAACTATCGAGTGTGGTGTGCCAGAAGTCAATCACCATCATTTTGCAGGGAAATCAATAAACCACAAGCTGTGAACTCTGAAACATTTCATTATCACGACAATTTCAAATTGCATACAGTATTCAGACGCGGCGCCGCGGGAGAGATCTCCTCGCAGCACCCCGAGACGCCGCCGCAGCGGGCAGCCGCGCTTTTCATTACCCTTAATGAACGATCTCAGCAGAAATATAACTTCTTCCATGTATTTGACCCAAATTGGAGACGGATTAAACCGCCTGCGGTGCAGAAGGGCGAGTCTGTTTTACTTAACTGAGTAGAGAGTCTCTCCGGACCTGATTAGAGGTGCCTACGGGGCAGAAAGTGAACAGGGGGGATCTACTTGGCCACCTTGCGGAGTTCGGCGAGGACCCAGATGGCAAAGGTAAGCAGCGCGACTGATCCAGACTGGTGAGTAGCCGCCAGGGGGGTGGGCACGTACAGGAGCAAGGTGCAGATGCCAAGAACCACCTGGGAAAAGAAAACATGCACTTGTGAAGCACTTAACTTTATGAGAGACCTAGATAGAAGAGGACGCACCATCCACCCCCACCTAGACGTAAGTGGTCCCCATAGACTTACACTGATTTTTCCAGAGTGGTCATTCAAAGTGGTTTGATGTGAAATGGTGAACTGTAACGAGGTGACGTCACAATATATAACAATTTTATTTACAATTCAAAATGAACAGGGGGGCCTAAATGTGTCTGAGTGTTTATGGTCCCGTTTACACCTGGTCACTTCATATGACTAGTATTAGGATAGTGTCCTAATACCAGTCCTAATAGTATCCTGATAAGATTTTAGCCACATACATTTACACTTGGTAGGCAAATCTGTCTCTGGTTAGTCAGACTGGAATCTGTTTGTTAAGTGGGATGGAATACGCAAATCCGGGTTAGATCGTTATGCGGCAACCAATTACCCACTGTTTATCATTCAGTTAAATTTGTACATACGTTTTAGTGTATAAATACACAAACATTATTAGTGGGCCTGAAGTAAAAACATAAAATACAATGTTGACTATCTAGCACATTTCACATCAAACTACTCTGAAATCTAAAATCTAATCTAAGAAATCTAAAAACTTTGGTGGAATTGCCCTTTAAGATATGTGATTATCATTTAGAACATTTTCTGTAACGCATCAACGTTACATCCATACAAAAGCATTTATTTTACAGCCTCAAGAGGGAGAATCAATACAGCAGCCATTGAGCCATAGAATGAATGACATCATCAGCTATCTAGGTCTCTCGTGTATGGTCAAAAGTTTGAGCGCCCCTGGACAAATGACGTTTTTTTTTTAACTTTATAAGTGAAAATAAGTCTCACACATGTCTATACATATTATTGTACAGTGTGCTGGTATTTGTTAAATTTAAACATAAAAATTGACCTGTACAAAAGTTCTGGTACATTTTATGTTTTCTTTTCTTCAGTATGTTAAACTCAGCAAATATATGGAAATTGTGCACTAAAATTATCAGAAATGTATTAAAGTTTGTTCCTCGGGCTGCGTTCACATTACCAGGTTGAGGGAGCACAAATCCAATTTTTTGCCCCAGTGTGACTCAGGTCTGATGTTTTCAGAGCTGTGTGGACACGCAAATCTGATCTTTTCAAATCCGACCTGAGTGGTTTAATCCGGCTCCAGCTGAGAGCTGATCAGAGTTAATGATCTTCTCAGCGAAGCTCGTTCTGCTCGTTAGTTTGTGCTGATGATGCTCGTGATTCATTCACGTGACGTTACTGAGTAGGATGAGCTCATGAGGGTCATTTCAGGACGCCGGTTCGTCACATTAATGACAGATTTGAGTCACTTACCTAAACGAGTGCGAACCATCCTGTCAGAGAGATCGGATTTGAGCAAAAATTCGGATTTGAGCAATGAGGCTTGTAAAGTGAACGTAGCCTTAAAGAGGATGTGTTCACTTATTTTCACAGATCGTTATTGGACCAGGGCTGTTTTGCATTCGGCCGTAAATCCATGATATTTGCAACTTGAATTTCTCCTGGGACTGGCTTTCACTCCATTTCATTTACTGTTGCTACAAAAAGCATTTACTCAAGTTCTAATTACTGCATTCATGCATTTCTCTCAGTTTGACAAAGTTAGAGAAGCATTTTGGGCTCTGGTTTCAACAGGAACAGCATAACAGGCAGATTCCCAAAGTCTGCCAATATACTTATTGAGGAAAAACACAATTAGGCACATCCAAAATTAGGCTTTGTTTCAAAGTAGTAATTAAAAAGAATGGAAATGTAACAGTCCACGGCTCCTTTAAGCAAAGTTAGTAATTACCTAGTAAATACCACACTGGGTTTGTTTTAGGAGATGCAAAATGAAGTTCTGTCACTGACCTGTGTGTAAGCCATGGCTGTCAGGCAGCTGATTGCAATCTTTGCCCTCCTGGGCAGAAGCATGCGTCTGGAGAAGAGGTGGAGGCCAGTGATGGCTGCTAATGAGCCAATAGCCTACAGGAAAATAAACAAGCGTTTAGTAAACAGCAGGGAGGCGAGGGTACCGCAACGCAATTAGAAAGGCAGCCTCGGGTTCCAGCATGGGAACCGCTAGAAGTCTAATAGAAAGTGTGTTCACATGCACTCAATAATCAGATCATAATCAGATTTCTGCAGTTATCCGATTATTCAAATGGTCATGTAAACACCTTACTCCGATCTAGAAATCCGATTAAGAAATCCGACAAAGAGGCTGGATTTTAGCTCCGTAATCAGATTCCTCAGTGAACTCTTACTCTGATTTCTTTCGGATTTCTCAGTCTGAGCATGTGTGAAAACAGACTGCGGTACCAGAAATAAGCGAGCAGCGTCGCTGCGAGACGCAGCAAAACACTGTTGGAGCGACGCTGAAACCAAATACATGCTTGACAAAACAAAGGATTTAAATTTTCTTCATCTTCTAGTTGATGTTTTCATATTTTCAGGTAAAGTGGTGCGATGTTTTAAAAAAAAAAAAGCTGCAGCATGAAGTTTGAGTTTTACGTTACGTTTACATCACATCTGTGAGTTTATTGGCTGGCTGTAAAGCAGAAATCTGATTACTGTCTGACTCATGTAAACCTGGAGTTTCCCCATTATCTGACTATTCAGATACATATAAACACATTGATTGGATTACTGACAAAATCAGATGTTCTACAATTATCAGATTAATAAGTGCATGCAAACACACTTTGCCAGTCATCATGTCATCATGCTAACAGTTAACATTAGCTTCCATTCAATCTTAGCCATGTAAGCACTGTTTGGTTTAAGCTCGCGCTCACCAGTACGCGGTGGTCAAACTGGACGGTGGTGGGGTTCTCAAAAAAGTTCTTGATGGCTGGAGAGAAGGCCAGCAGGTCGTCAGGAACCCAGTACTCGCCCATCTTTGGGAAGGAGTTGTACACCAAGCCAGCGTCGAGTCCAGCGACAAAAGCCCCTGCAAGAGATTTTCATTTAAATTTAAATTTATGGCATTTGGCAGCCGGTCTTTTCCATCTGGTACACATCCATATGTTAATGCAAACAGCCCACAGTCTGAAGATCCTCAGGTGAAGGAGCTGCTCATTAGCAGGAGCCAGTGCTGATACATGAATACTCGGATTTGTTCCCAGAGAAGGGCAGTCGGGTTTGTTTTTAATGAGGAATTCCATCAATGTCTAAAAATTACTGCATAATCCGAGAGCTGAGATGTAAACAAAGTCATTCAGAGTGGTTAGATGTGAAGTAGTTCATTATAGAGCATTATAACCTGTATATTATTATAACTATAACCAACCTAATTTCCTGAATTTCTTTACAGTGGTGGTCATAGTAACCAGGAGTTGCAATGTCCACAATGCAAATACAGCCATTTTACTTACCATCCAAAACAACCAATAAACCTACATGCGTCTTCCGAGTTTTTATGTTTTAATAATAGTAAAATTATAGTAAATCAAAAAAAATGTTTTCTTAGGGGACTATTTTGCCTTACAACACCCTGCATGTACCCCTCCACCATGAATTAATTTTACAAATATGTTTTAAAACCTTCCCAAACTATCATTTGGTCTAATTCAGAGTGTAATAATAATGAAAAATAAGCAAATCTGTAGTATTTCTTTAATTTTACTTACAAATCTCAAAATGAGGGGCTACAAGTAAATCAATCTAAATGAAAATAACAGCGCAAAAAACACGAAAATGAGCCTCAATACTTACAAATACATGCATATCGTCACTGTTCAAAGAAAACAAGTATCTCCAAAAATAGTAACTTTAAATGTAAATTTCTATCCATCCATCTATCATGAAGTTTTCATACAATGTAAAGAGCAGCTGCTGTATTTGAATGATGTAGAAAAATAACTTTACTTATAATAAAATTGTAGCAAATCAGAAAATATGCATTCTCATGCATATGCATCACACCCTGCATGTGTTCCTCCGGCATAAATTAATTTTAGAAGTACATTTTAGATCAAAACCTTTTCAAACTTTCCTTCAAAAAGGTTTCAAAACCTTTTCAAATCATTAAACAGTGTCTCAGGCATCAGGCAGGTATTAATAACTATTCCATGTCATAACTTTCTGTGAGGGAGCTTTTAGAGGCGTTAGTGTTCGGATGTCTGGCTCCCATCACCGCCGCTCTGTACAAAGTTTTGCTAACAGATGACAGAGCATTTCACATCAAATCACTTTGGACGGCTTTGCATCTGAATGATTTAATGATGCAGAAACTCTCAAATGACCTGTAACCAAATCAGATGTGTATGTTCTGGCTGTAGGTGTATTTGTTCGCATGGCCTCGTTGGTTGTCATAGTAACAAAGCAAGCCGGCGTATGTTGACATGGGCAGAATGGACAGAAGTATGATTTTCTTGCCACACATTCTGACATTAAGAAGCGACACTTGTTGGAAAAAAAATAAGACATCTGATCTGATCACACGTCCAGAGATCCAATCTGAACTGTATATAAAGCCACGAACAAATGTGCCTTGAATTTGACTGAAAAATGCTGCATTTTATGTGTCTTTTTGCTGTTTAGACTGCAGAAAATCTCTTTTGCTGAAATGAGATTTGCCAGAAATTCAGAAAATTTGGGCTGCCTGAGCAAAGCAACAGACCCACAGACATAAGAGGAATATATAAGAGCACTTTTCTTTAAACGCTGTCTGTGCAGACGGGTCTTCAGTCCACGTCTGAACACAGCAGGACACTCAGCTCGGACGCAACATGTCAAACACCACCGGAGAAAGTGAGTGAAAGTACTTGCTGGTAAGTGGCCTCACCTGAGAGAGCTGTGAGGAGGACCAGGGCACCCGTTCCCTTAGCGAACCTCCGGAGCTGCAGCACACGCTTGGTGTCAGGAAGCTGTGGAGACAGAACTTTTACAGTTATATAATCGTTCAGCACTTCAGGTAAGCTGGAAACCACTGAGCTGGAAGAGGATGTGGATTACGGTTGTTATGGTAATTATATACTGCAATATAAGGTCTAATAACATGAAGCCCAATGAAAATCACGCTGTGTCAGATTTGACTGCAGTAATTACGCTGTTTACACTGTTCACTGTCTTTGAAATATTCTAGTGCTAGTGATAATTCATTTAATGATCACTTTCATGATTTCAATTACTGTCTCATTTAGAGTGTAATAATAACAATAAAAAGAATATAACAAATCTGTATTTATCTAGTGTTTTTCATTTTACTTACAATATCTCAAAATGCTTTTTACAGCGCTATAAGTAAAACAATCTAAACATGAAAATGAGCCTTAATATAAATCAATACATGCATATCATCGCTGTTCAACGAAAAACAAGTACCTCCAAAATGGTAACTTTACAGTAGAGGGTAAAGGCATTCTTTACTTTTAATATAATTTAATGTAATAATGTTTCATCCTTAGTAACTTTGGAGCATATCCATCCGTCCATCTATCATGAAGTTTTCACACAGTGTAAAGGGCAGCTGTGTTGTACTCAAATGATGTAGAACAATAAAATAAAAAATGGAGACACTTTATGTTTTAATGATGGTAAAATTGTAGTAAATCAGAAAAAAAAGTTTTCTTTGGGGACTATTTTACCTAACGACACCCTGCATGTATCCCTCCGCCATGAATTTATTTTAAAAATACGAGATACTTGTTTTTATGGGATTTATTCTGGCACAGTGACAGTATCACCTATTCAGCTTCCATTCCTATTATCCTCTGGAATGCTATTCCCAAGTAAGAAAATGATCTTCCTCCAGCTGAGCTATAAGTGATCCCTAGCAGTAAGCCTGCCTCAGCTGACCGAGGTGGTCTGGGTGGGCTACGAACCTTGTTTGCAGGAAGCATAAGCGTGAGACCCGTCCACAGGCTGGCGCAGTAGAGCAGAAGGGCCGATCCCAGGTGAGAGGCCAGTCTGTACTGGCTGACACGAGGAATATCATAAGACTCCGGCTTCTCCTCCAGGCCGCTCTTCACCATGTACCAGCCCAGGAGACCCTACAGAAGTACAAATGCGCCACTCACTCAGTCCACTTTCATAATTCCTAAAATTTTGACCAATTACACCGATCAGGCATAATATTATGACCACCTCTTTGTTTCTACGCTCATTGTCCATTTTATCAGCTCCACTTACTATATAGGTGCACTTTGTAGTTCTACAGTTACAGACTGTGGTCCATCTGTTTCTCTGTGTACTTTGTTAGCCCCCTTTTACCCTGTTCTTCAGTGGTCAGGACCCCCATGGACCCTCACAGAGCAGGTACTATTTGGGTGGTGGATCATTCTCAGCACTGCAGTAACACTGATGTGGTGGTGGTGTGTTAGAGTATGTTGTGCTGGTCTGAGTGGATCAGACACAGCAGTGCTGCTGGAGATTTAAACACTGTGTCCACTCACTGTCCACTCTATTAGACACTCCTACCTTGTCTGTCCACCTTGTAGATGTAAAGTCAGAGACGATAGCTCATCTGCTGCTGCACAGTTTGTGTTGGTCATCCTCTAGTCCTTCATCAGTGGTCACAGGACGCTGCCTACAGGACGCTGTTGGCTGGATATTATTGGTTGGTGGACTATTCTCAGTCCAGCAGCGACACTGAGGGGTTTAAAAACTCCAGCAGCACTGCTGTGTCTGATCCACTCAGACCAGCGCAACACACACTAACACACCACCACCACGTCAGTGTTACTGCTGAGAATGATCCACCACCCAAAAACTTTGACCAATTACACCGATGAGGCATGACATTATGACCACCTCCTTGTTTTTGCCTGGGTCCTGACCACTGAAGAACAGGGTAAAAGGGGGCTAACAAAGTATGCAGAGAAACAGATGGACTACAGTCTGTAACTGTAGAACTACAAAGTGCACCTATATAGTAAGTGGAGCTGATAAAATGGACACTGAGTGTAGAAACAAGGAGGTGGTCATAATGTTATGTCTGATCAATGTATGTTCATTGGAGCAGAGTTTGCCATGATCAGAGCAGCGTAGATCAAAATATTCTGACCGCCCATAGTGCTACAACATGTACATTATAATAGTTTAAGCAGTGTGACGATTAAGAACTCTTATTGATGGGTGTCAGTAAAACACAAACTATTAAAATATAAATCTGAGAACCTAAAATATTTCATATATATATATATCAGTCGGGCTCTAATCGCTAACAACGCAGCTGAATAGTCACCAAATCCTATCATGCAAATGGAACTGTGCCTGGTGGCTACTGTTAGCCAGGTTATTATGTTTGGTCAGTTTTCTTTTAATCCAGGGGTCCAATCTTATCTGCCAAGGGCCGGCGTGGCTGCAGGTTTTCGCCACAACAAAGCAGAGCACACGTGGTCAGTTGTTCAAAGACTGTGACCGACTGATGAAATGAATGCTCTGCACCCACATCGGCGCTTTGCTGATTAGACTGGACATTCCTGTTCTAATCGATGAGTCCGGCTTACCTGGAAGAAGACGAAGCCACACAGGCCCAGCACACGAGCTTTCATAGAGCGGTTGAAGTAGCCTTTCTTCCAGAAATACACGGTGGGGAGGATGTAGGCCAATCCCACCAGCCTGCCCCACATGCGGTGTCCCCACTCCATGTAGAAGATGAACTTGAACTCAGTCAGGGTCATGTCATGGTTCATTCTGTTGGAAAGCAGAAAGGTATGATGTAAAGGTACGTAAAGGGACCATAAACATTGACGTTATCCACAACTTACATCAGTGAGGCACGTTTTTAGTCTAAATGTCTGCTTAAAATGGAAAATGAACACCTGTAATATCTGCAGTGCCGGTGTTTCGACTGTGGTTAAGCAGTTAAGGTTTACCAGCCTTAAGCTAAAAGTAAAATGAAAATGTGCAACAATCAGACACACAGTAAGACTAACGGCATGTTTAAAGCCAACTGAAGGAATACTTTGTTCATGTTGGAGTGACTCAGAATTAAAAGTGGTGTAAGTTATTCAAGGCTCTATAAAATGGTCATTTCAAAAAAAGGTACACAAAGGCCCAGTGCCATTTCACCCCTCGCCCCTACCCCATTGGTGCACGTTCACATCTAGGGGTAGGGTGTCCCGATTCTTGTCTAGATAGAGGGGTAGGGTGAAGTGTTAGGGCTACATGGCCCTCCAAATGGAGGTTTTTCAGAGACTCCAAACAGAGTGATATGATAAAAAAAGAAAAACCGGCAAGACGGCTGAACAAGAGACCAAAGAAACACACAAATGTGAGGATTTTCTCTGTTAAAAATTACGATAACTATTGTATTATCTTAGTTTAATGTCATTTCAGTGTTTTTTGGTCCTTTTCTCCATAACAAGCATAAAAAAATCACTAGTAGTGCTGATGTCTCGGTAGCTAAGTAGCTAAATTTCCCGTTCCACCTTAAATAGTCCAGCAGTTCTGACGCCTGAAGTGCCAGAATGTAACTGCTGCTCCATTTAAGGTGGAACGGGAAAATCTGAACAAGAAGCTGGAGAATATCTGACTTCAGCTTCATATCACTGAAAAATTAGGGGTGGGTGATAATAAATAATTGACCCCCCCGCCCTATAAAATATGAGGAGCTGAACTTTACCCTCCTCTGCTGTCACTGCAGACTGGCAGGGTCGCCTACAGAGCAGCGCTAGTAGCTGTTAATGAAGTGATGCTCTTTTTATTTGAGGGTCCCGTAACGTAGGGAAGATTTCAACCACTAACCATTGTAACTCAGTTCCAAGAGGCAAGGAGACACTCAAAACAAGGGGTAGGTGTAAAATAAGAAATGGGATTGGGCCAGGACAAAAAAATAATAAAAATGAAAAGTTTGAAAATTCATCCGTAACTGATTTCACATTCATTATGTAAAGCAGGTAATGTGATAATTTAATAAATAAACAAACTTAGCCTGTGTTTGTTCAACTCTGCCTTCTGACTTCTGGAAGATAATGATGGATTGATGGTGAGATTAGAAGAATTTCCTTTGTTCCTTCTGCTTGATCTTAATTAGGCTTTAGAAAATCAAATATGTCCACTAATCAGATCCTGAAAGTGGAGAGTAGTGACTTAAATTTCTCCTGTTAGCCAGTATTTTATTTTAGATATGTAGATGTTTGATATTTGAAGCTGAGGTACTGATATTAAGGCTGTTGCAGCAGCAATACAAGCCAAAATGATGAGACCATTAATCTGCAGTACATCTTTCCTGAATCAGATTGCTGTACGAACTATAAATGTACTCTAAAAGTGAACTGTGTGACATGTTACCAGCTGATACTCAGTATTAAATGACTCAATATTAAATAGAAAAAGCGTAGTGTGTTCTGTGTGACTCACATTTTGAACTCTGGAAACTGCTGATATTTGGAGAACTCAGCCTCCCACTCAGCCTGCGTCCGCGGCGGCTTCATCTCCTTCACTAAGTGCCAATCCACCATGGACAGGCCGGATTCAGTCAGCCTGAAAAGCACACCAGCCTGAGTCATGTCTGCCTTTCTTGTTTCAGCATGAAATTCATAAATTATCAAGGTTTTTCCTTAAAGGGTCACAACTTAATAATTAATAACCTCAATTAGTTTTAAGGAAATGCATACAGCTTTCCCTTAGCTCTACTGCCTACTTTAACCGCTGTGGCTGTTAAAACACTCAGTCCTGAAGGGGGCGCTAGAGGACAAATCAGAGAGGATCTACTGTCATTCCAACAGCCTCAACAGCTAAACGTGGTGAGTAGAGGACAGTGAGCCACTTTACCTCTTCTGTACGCTAAAAGTACCACATAGCTTGGTCTAGCGCCCCCTGCTGTAATGCTCAGAATGCCGCTCTCGCTTGCCCTGCGTTATGAAATGCATCCTGACACATTTTTGAACGCAACTATGCGCGAAACCCCGTCTGTGTAGCTCGAAGCATCTGCATTCAAGTTCTTGCATGAAGTATGTTTCGGGCCTTAGGCTTAGTGCAATTCTCTTCCATCAAAAACGCTATGCTAAAGATGAGCTATACTAAAGATGAGCTATACTAAAGATGAGCTATACTAAAGATGAGCTATACTAAAGATGAGCTATACTAAACTACTGATGAAATATCTCACTCCAAAAAGCCACACAGTGCTATTTTTCTACTGTAAAACTCTGCACTATTGTCTGTCAATATCAGTGCTAACAATGCTGATCAGTAATTTAGTCCCATTACTAACCAGAACACTGCTATTAGTATGAGAGCATCCTGAGGTGTAAATGGACATCTGGTGTTGAATAACTGATGGAAGGTGCGAGTGGTTAAGTATTGGTACCGATTTTCAGCCAACAATGCATTCCGCAATCAGACGATATTACACTGATCAGTGACGTAAAACATATGACCCCTATTTCACGAGTTAGGGATTGCTGCATTGCGTGAGGCCCTTTTGGCCACAGAACCCTGCAGTTCCTCGTTCAGACACTAGTTGGAAATACTGACCTTTTGGCTTCTGAGTATGTACTAAAGGCCGATTCACTCAGAGTGGAGTTTTGAAAGTGAACACGTGCATTAATGCCGTCTTTCACACCAAGTCCGAAACTGGTGCTGCGTAATTTTTAAATCAGAACCTGCTTGATTTTCTACGTTATACGGCGGCGTTAAAATCGAGCCCACCAATCAAAGCTTCGTTGTCATGGTTGCAGCCCAAACAAACGTGTGTCAGGATGGCGACAGAACTCTCGTATCGGAGCACCAAAGCTTATACGACAAGCAAGCGCTGACTAAAATAATGTGGAGGTTAAAGACGAGGACAAGAGCTGAAGGGCTATGAATGACGGGGTGTACATTACAGTTATTTTACCGTGAGGGGAGCAACAAGCAGAGGCTGAGCCTCGAATTCCCCCAATGACCTACAGAAACACGTGCAGAACTGCTTGTCATGCAGCTTCAGCTAGCTCTTGTAAGAGGCGTTAGGACTCCCCCTGTTGTTTTTTTTGTAGAATAGCATGTAGCCAGTTTATGCACCATTTAGTTGCAGTGCTTAAACTTTTTTCCATTTTCAGAGTGTTTAGACACTCAGAGTTGGTGTGAAGGTCCCACTATGTTAAGATTGCACTGTTTTTATATTTTTTGTTTTAAAAAAATCATAATTGGTGTAAATAGACCTTAATAATCCAGCCCCGCCCTCGTTCTGTATCTGCTATCAGTCGATAGCTAATCAGTCCATCTCTATTATTGAAAATCTGTTTAGTATTAATCCACTGTGTGGAAAAGAAACCCCCTGAAGTTGAAACGCACTCACTCAGATGGGCAGTTAGACAAAAGGAATAACAAATAAACAGGTTTTCATGTCTGAAAAGAGGATGAAAGGTACAATAAGTTATCAGCATTTACAGACATATAGGCTTCTACACTGCTGACCTGGTAACACCTCCCAAGACTATGGCCCCCAATACAAGCCCGCTGCATCCCACCAGCCATCGGCCTACGATACGATTCGTCGCTGCGTTGGGAACGGTCACTGCGGAGGTCTGTGAAGGCCCACTTTCAGCGACGACTGTATTTTGTCCTCTCCGCAGCATCCATTGTCTTAAAGGCGTTCGCTGAGGAGAGACAATCAGAATTAGCTTCACTATAATGAGGAACAAACAAACTTCACTTTAAAAATGGAACGATGTGTGATACACAAAATGGTTTTATCAGCATACCGACTGACCAACAACTACACACCCCACAATTAGTCCTGTTCAATTGGATTTAGCGCAGTACAGTATGTGAAATATGGAATAAATATCACCGTATGCAGAGTAGAGATGAAACGATACTAAAATTTCATATCACGATTATCAGGACCAAAATTATCACGACTATCGGTATTATCGCGATATTGTTCAAATGTGTTAAAGTAAAATAAATAAAAAAATAAATAAAAAAGTAAATAAATACTGATACACAAACTGAAACTCGTTTCACCAACTTTTATACTAACACAAATAGAATTGGCAGCAATATGCACTTTTTGTTTGCATAAACATTAAAAAATAAGGTCAATACAATTTTAGTATTACTTTTGTATAACTTAATACTTGTAATACTCTGTAAACAAAAGAATAGCAAATGTATTATTACTGTTATTATTATTATTATTATTATTATTATTATTCTTAATTACAATAACTAGGGATTTCCCTGCATAGAGAATTAAATCTGGACCAACTCTGAGGTGGGTCTTAATGGAAAAGTACTACTTCTAAGAAGTGTTGCACTCGGGGGGATTTCTGTCCGAACTGCAACTGCAGCATTATTGTGCCGTTGTGGCGCTGAACCCCTAATCAACACAGCGCACCAGGAAAAACAGCCAAAATCACAGAGGAATTGCGTGACCGCGCTGTGAGCTGCAGACAGTGTAGAACTCACATAGTGTGTCTTCACCTGTGGAGCTGCTTCTCTAAAAGCATTAAAAACTAAAACATAACTTAAAATTAACATCCATCTGAGCTGCGGCAGAAACACTCCTACAGTTTAATCTCTGAAACTCTGCTTTTCCTAAAAGCAGCACAGCGTTTACTCGCGAGGTCCCGTCTCAAAGCACACTATCTTCCCTATGTAGTGCACTTCGTGGATCATGAAATAGCAAATCCTTCAGCCAAAGAGTGCAAGAAACGTTCAACTAAGTCATCTATAATCAACATTAACAACAGGTTACAAATCCCCTATTTAAAACTCAGCTGCTGGTTAATGATGATCATGTTTGTTTGAACAGTAGCGCACTATGTAGGGCGCACTATGTAGTGATTTGAGACGGTGTTATTCTCCTCTCAGACAGTAAACACTGCAAGCGAGACGAGAAAGGGGAGCTGTGCAGAGTGAACTTCACTTCACCGCAGCGTCTCGTTAACTCAGAGCTCATTTTGGAGACTCTGCTCCACAGAAATGTGTTAAAAGCTTTAGTTTCGATTCACAGTTGATTCACAGATTGTTTTTTTTTTTTTTTGACGCTAAAATCTTCATTTTATATTATTAACGAACCATAAGCGTAAGTTAAACCACACAGACCATGACATTTCTTCTATTTCGAAGTCTCCACAGACTTCTGCGTTAAAGTTAAATTTGCATTCTCTATAAAGTAGCGGGTGGTGGTCGCGAAGATGACTCGTAAGGTTGGCTGTGTTGCCCCCTTTCGCCGCTATTTTCTTTCGGCCTGTTCTGCAGACAGGGTGGTCATCTTCAGTTAACTTTCCTTCTGCATTCTTATAAAACATGACCAAATGTCAGACTTGGTCTTCTTAGAAGGCTGAAATATCTCCGAATCTCCGAGTTTTTCACACCACGGTAATCGACCGCGGTTTTAACGATACTTTAAAGTTCAAACGGTACTACTAACTGTCATTAATTTTACCGCGGTTTACCAAGAAACCGGTAACCGTTTCATCTCTAATGCAGAGTTTTTAAACGTGGCACTGTCTAAATATCGTGAATAGTAAAAAATGTCTTTAAGTATCATGATAAGACATTTTCGCTATATTGCCCACCCCAAACTACATCATCACTGCAAATCAAAAGAAGTTTAAGAGCATCCAGTTTAAAATATACAAAGCTGGGTGTGAAGTAGGAATGCTATTGGAATCATATTTGTACCAGCAGACAATTAGAAAAAAATAAATAAATATATAAATCTCAGCATTGGACGCAGTTTAGATTTGACTGGTATTTCAAACTGACATTTGACAGTGTATTTACTGTAGAATGTTTAGGGGACGCCGGCCTGCAGCGCTAATATATATAATGTGACTGACTTTTCTCTTCAGACGTGTTTTAATAAATTAATTTTTGTTTGATTTCCAGTAATTCCGGTCCTCTCTTCTTAAGAAGAAGCTTAAGACTTTTCTTTTTAGACGTGTTTTATGGATTTTGTTTTAAGAAATTCTGGATCTTTTAAGGTGGAATCTTAAGACTCTTCTCTGGAGACCTGTTTGAGTTGACGATGTCATGAAAAGTGTGCTATATAAATAACATTCCTTTAATTATTATTATTATTATTATTATTATTATCATCATCAAAATACCTCCTTATAATTCACTTTACTACATTTCTATTCCTACAGAAATAACTATAATTGTCTGTAATGCTAGTCCCGGTGGATCTAGTCCTGATTTCTACATATCATAAATGTTTATGTATTGTTATCGACAGACAACATCAGCACTGGCCCACAATTCCCATATCAGTGAAACCCCATACAGAGGGCTACTGTTTGGACATTCCAATTAACTTAAAATGTGTTTAGACTGGACACAATTAAGGCCAACTAACAGCAAAAGTATTACTGAAGTGTCCACGTTTCCAGCCACACCGACTCCACTGAATATACGCCTTCCTCCACCAAAATGCCAGCTCCTCCCTCAGACTGAGTTTTCTATGTGTCATGTTAATCAGAGTAAAGCATAAACACCATAGAGATCCACTTAAATCGAACACTACCACTTCAGCATTAAGAGCTATGTTTAAAATCATAATCTACTACAGTGTTATGATCTTGCTGGGTTAGTCCAACTGCTGTCCTGCACTTCCAGTTCTGCACTGTCATCATGACGGCCTTAAACCTGATGATTTCATCGCAGCAAACAAAACCGCTATTTATTCCACTCCGTTTCAAACCACCTGAAGCGCTTACAGAACGGAAGTGAGTCGGAGGCAGTGTGAAGTGGACGGATGGTCACTTCAAGGTCCTGTACAATTAAATGACAAATAAGTGGGCTGGAGGTCAGTCGTGGGCTGGAGGTTAGGGAACCAGCCTTGTGACCAGAAGGTCGCCGGTTCAATCCCCTCAGCTGACAGTATGTGACTGAAGTGCCCTTAAGGGAGCCACCTAACCCCCCACTGCTCCCCGGGCACCGTGGTTAGGGCTGCCCACCGCTCCGGGCAAGTGTGCTCACTGCCCCCTAGTGTGTGTGTTCACTAGTGTGTATGTGGTGTTTCACCCCACGGATGGGTCAAATGCGGAGGTCTAATTCCGATGTGTTCAGACACAGTTGGCTAAAAGGTTCATTTCAATTTCAATTTCAATAAATGTTCCAGAAATTCTGAGCAGCTGCCTAATCTTAACTGTGTGGGCGTGTCAGGATGAAAAATGATCGACAGGGGTGCCTCCCAAGCAACGTTAACCCCCGGCTCCAGTGGCGGACCACGTTGCTCTTATGGGCTGGCCTCTGAATGGTGAGTACGAAGTGCAGAACGGAGAACGAGCTGTCTGGTGCTCAGATCTAATTTGATTTCGCAGCTAATATTGGAGAGCTCAGGCTTTCGTCTTATGACGGGTCGATGACGGACACATGGGGTCTGATATCTGAATCCTCAGCAGCGTCAACGTTGATTTCAAAACCTATTGCTATTTTTTTAGTCTTGGTACTAATGGGTGATACTGAAGCTGAAACTGAAACCGAAACATGTTTCTCACCTCTTTGACCTTGGCATTTATTACTATGTCTGACTTCTACTTTTGCCCATTAATGTCCAAAACCATGTCCATGTGTTCTCTGTTCACTTGCAAGAGCACAAATCTGAAGACACTTTTAACTCTATGGCTAAAAAGTGAGGTTTTTATCACTTAGCTGATCATATTGAATCTTGCCTTTGGGTCACTGTTGCTATAAAAAAAATAGAAATTCCAGATTTTAATGTTTATATGTAATCAACACCATTCAAACGAGCACATTTAGATGTTCATCCAGTGTATTTTTACACCACTTCCACCAATCAGAACAGCCAACACACTAGATATCGTAGCTGGTCATAAACGAACATAATAGTCATGCTGAATATCTCTATACAGTCTGCGCAAGTAGGGCTGGGCAATATGATAATATTCACCATTATTGTGACAAATTACACCACAATATGCTTGTCTGAGCACATCGTGGACATCATCAGTGCTTAAAAACACATCCCAACTGCATGTCTGATTAAAAAAGAGCACATTTGGGTCCCGTTTAACTGGATTCAGTGCGACACAGTGTATACACAGTCTTGGATAATATTTTCCAGAGGTGGGCGATAAAATAGTGTTGTGATACTTCAAGAAATTTTCACAATGCATAACATCACAATATTTACTTTCTCAGACATCTGATCAGTTGAAACAGAGAAAAAAGATCCAGCAGTGCCACATTTAAAAAAAATATGACAAACTGTGAACGTAATGATTTTTATTTATAAAATATATATATATGATATATTCAGAAAAGTGTATAATATTGTACTGTGACATGATTTATCGCAGTAATGACGTATTGTCATGTCGTCCAGCCATCTTACCTTCTAAACATGGCTCTACTTATTCTTTTCAATTTATTAGGTGTCAGAAAAAATTATACATCATGTTTTGTGAAAATTTCTTAAAGTAAAAAAAGTTATATCGCGAATCGTGAAACGTTCTTAAAGTATCGCGATATTAGGTTTCTGCCATATCGCCCACCTCCATGAACTACAGGACGGTCTTGAAGGACAAACGAGCGGAGGATGCTCTCAGCAGACATGTGGCCTCTTACACCTGTGACAAACGAACAGACTGGCCTGGTAGATAAACACCTCACCCGCTCTTATAATTTGGTTATAACCGGTTTATTAATAAAAACAGACCTCAGTTCTGCATTAACGACATTAGTTTAGTTCGTGGACCGTTGGTTACGTCACGAGCTGCACGACTCCCGTCTCCTCGTTAGCGAGGTTAACGTTAGCTAGCGCCTCGAAAACACTCGGTAACGCCGCCTGACCTGGCTCTGCTGGAGTCCTCTCCGGTACCCGCACCACACCGCACACCTGAGCGCCGGGAGAATCATCGCTGCGTCTGCGCTGTCGCTGTAAACCGGCCCTAACACGCTCTGTTTCTCGGTGAGCTTCCCTCACACCGCCACCATGTTGTCCGGCTCCTGAACGAATCGTTGCTTCGAATCGGTTCTTTTACATGACTCGGTGGAACCGATTCACATGTCCTGCTGAACCTATTCAAGCAGCGTTTATGTCAGTCTTGTTAAAATCTTAAATAACACCCTTATTATCTTATTATCCTATTTCAGAACAAGGCAATCACACCGATTTTTCAAAATTTTCAGCATAATTAAAGGGAAATTCCACCAAATTTGTAATTATGCATTTAAGATGTCTTTACAGTGGTGCTGATAGGAACCAGGGGTCACCGTGACTACAACACAGATATAGCCACTTTATTAAACCACCAGAGAACCTACACGTGTCTTTATATACAATGCTGAAGATGGTAAAATAGTGGAACATCTGAAATAATAAGTTTTTTTGGGGGGGGACTATTTTGCTTCACAATACCCTGCACGTACCCCTCCAAAATGAATGGATTGTAAAAATGTTGTTGGCTCGAAATCTTCTTAAAACTATTGTAAAACAGTGTAATAACGTTCTGCGAGGGAGCTTTTAGAGGCGGACGTTCCTATCACCACCACTGTGAACAGTGAACAGCATTTCACACCAAACCACTCTGAACGACTCGGTTTACATCTTAATCAATAATTATACTGATTTTTTCCTTCCCTTTTATAATATTCGCTCGTGCTTTGCGCGCCCTGTGCCTGACTGAAGCTCATTTATACACTCATTGATGAAAATGACAATGAAGTGAACTTAATGTGTGAATCGATGAATCGTTGATTCGGACGCTCCCGTTCATTAAAACGGACAACGGTTTCAATGAAGAATCGGTTCCGTAAACTGAATCAAACTCTACCCGTCGCTAGTCGGTCCAACTCTGACCTGTGACGTCACACCAGAGTAAAAAGCGTAAGAAGTATTTTTTTAATGTATATATATATTTTTTTTATCAAGCACAGACGCAAATAATTTAAAAATTAACAGAACATAACATCGCCATGCATCTTATATCTGGAAAGTTTATCCTGTCAGAACCTTTTAACGACAAAGTGCGTTTGTGCTGACTTTTTTTGACACTTTTATTTATTTTTATAAATGAATTGGATTTTTTTTGTTAACCCGACATGTTTCAACATATTAATTAAAAAATATTTAAAAAAAATACATTTATCGAAATTACACGGTTGTTTTCCTCTTCACGATTTAAGGTGGAACGGGCAATTCCGAACTGACGGTTAGCAGCAGGCGGATGAGAAGCTGACTGCAGCTTCGTGACACTGCTGGACGCTGATGTGAAACCGAACAGTTTTAAGGTAACTCAACGCGAATGAGACCGAAATTGAAGCACTTTCCTCTCGATTCAGCCGGACGGGGCTGCTTTGGGTCGCTTCAGGAACGTTTAAAGCACGATAAAACAGTCTGTCGCGCTGAGACTGGGAGGCTAACTGAACACGGGCTGCAGCAGCCGCCGTGTCCTGTTCGCTAACTTAGCTAAACACAACCAGCCACTCGCCAAACTTCTGCCTTTTGTGCTCTGGACGTTTAATATTATCGGAATTTGAAGGTTATGACAAGCAGTAAACAGGCTGGCCTGTCTGCTACTTCACCTTGTTTGGTTATCGAATAAAACCTTCAGTTGAGTTTATAGTGGAGCAGCATAAACAGCATGTTTATGGACTTTAACAGAGCTGTATAGTGAAAGGGGAACTCCACCATCTTTTCCAAAATTCGACATAGTTAAATGGTTAAAATGTAAACAGAGTCATTCAGACTGGTTTGGTGTGAAACGATCCGTTCTAGAGCAACTTACTGACTCAGAATCGATCCCAGTGGTGGTGATAGGAACCAGACGTCCACCTCTAAAAGCTCCCTCACAGAAGGTTAATACATCTGGTGGTTAGATATATGCTGCCTGCTGCCTGACACATTGTTCTAGTTTTGTTTTTTGGCCTAAAATGTATTGTAATCCATTTATTTTGATCCACTCATGGCGGAGGGGTGCATGCAGGGCATTGCAAGGCAAAATAGTCCCTTATTTTTTCAGACTTATGACTGTTTTGCCATCATCAACATTACATAGAAAAACTCAGAAGGGTTCACTGCAGGTTTCGGATACCTCTGGGATTTCGATGACCACTGGTTCCTATCACCACCACTGGAAAGAAATCAGTGTCTCTACAACCAACCATTTCACACCAAACCACTCTGAATGACTGTTTATATCAAGGACTGAATTATTTGTAAATTTTGAAAAATTGGTGCAGTTCTCCTTAAACTGTTTGAACCTGACGTTCCTAGAAATGTCAGTAATAGTCCGATATATGACGACGTTGCTCATTAGAGCTTGGAGATCAGTGGGTGGACATACTGACCCCAGGCCTCCTCCAAATAGACTGCATTCTTAGAGTAACTAATGTAAACTTAAACATGGATTTTCTTGTTGAATCTAGTATGTAAACTCCAAAAATGAGTCCAGACAGCTTTCAAAGAATCATAAAACCGCTCCACTGATAATTAAGTCCTGTTTATTCTGATTTGAAGTTTAAACGGTTCACATGTTACACATGTGACACCCCATATTAGGTGCAAGGATCACATCTGAATTCATTAATATGATTAGATCACCTTTTTTTAAGCACCCGTATTTGACCTTTTCTGACACACCACAGTTCGTGTTTTGTGGATTGTGTTGCCTAAAAATACCGTGATATGTTACAGTTCGATGCAACAGGTGATCCATTAAAGTCCACCTGCGGTCAGAATGAACTGTTTGCCTTGTAAGCAAAGCAAGAGTGATATTTTCTGATTTAAAGACCAGAAACTTCACTCCTGATGATGCATCTTGAAGGTGGGAGGAACTACAAGGTGGACATGTAAAAGCAGACAGTTTAAAATGTTTGATTTTCCCCCCTGATAGATGGCTAATGCACAAGGAACACATTTGCACAATGCATTCTGGGTACTGTAGTTGCAGAGCGCTGATGGATGACAACACAAAAAGGGTACAAAATAGTGAATTCTGTCAAACCAGTGGGGCTGATTGATGCCGTGCTGCGCTTCTGAATAAATGCATAACACAATAAATAACATATGTTAGTTTTAGGCCTGAATGCTCTTTTTTAAAATAGTGTTTATTTTTTATGCCATTTAAAAGACAAATTTCTTGTTTTTCTTTATTTTTTGATGTAAACATATTGACTTTTGTGCCTCTAGAAGTTGTGAGTTTTAATGATGTCACTGTGCACCTTTATCTCCCCCAACACGACCCTCACCTGTTATCAACTGAAAATGCTCGGTTACTTCAGAGACCCTCCCTGATTTCGTTAAACAAAAAACGGGACCCCTGGCCTGCTGAAGGTTATAGTCCTGGATCCTTAGCTTTGGCCTAGTCCTGTTCTTGAAAATGGATTGTTCTTCATTTTGCTATGTTGGGTTGATCTCTAGTTCCTATAGTAAGGACTGCTTTAGGTCACTGCTCAGGGATGTTCTATACCAGTATAGTGAAATACTGTGTTCAGATTCAGTTTTAGCTTTCAGATTTTATTAATATATTTAATAATAAACAGAACTGTGTTGCACCAGGGTTGCGTAGGTTTGTACTTAAGTTTGTGTGTAAAGTCTTTACTGAGTCTTTAGTTACACTGGTAAGTTTTAAACTATCCTTTTACTGAATTTGGTTGCACCACAAATCCGTATGTCTTGTTTTACCCAGTAACAACTAACTAATGCATCTGTCACTTTAACATGACGATAACATGTTCAGAACCAATCAGTAAACCTGCTGCCATGGAAACGTGACGGCAGCTGCTCTGGCTTTTTCTTTGGAAAAACTATCCAGTGTAGAAGAGGCCGATGTGTACAAGTTAAACTGAATAAAACTAATTATCTGATGTTGTTATCTTGTGATACATTCAGAAAATACTGCAGTTTGTTATGAATGATCTGAACTCCTCTTGGCACTGCTGCAATCTGAGCATACTGAACTAAATGATGTTGTTTTATTCTCTGATATTCTCTCACAGGATGTCTGAGGGCTTCCTGATGGAGGTATGTGTGGATTCCGTTGAGTCAGCGATAAACGCAGAAAGGGGAGGTACAATAGAAATGCGGATTCTCACCCACATATAAACAGGGCTGGGTATCGAAACGCAGTACTTTTGCGATAACGGCTTCAGTACGAGTAACAAAAACTCAGTCAAAATTTCAATAGGTAGGAAAGTAATCTACGCTGCTGATTGGCTGTCTGAGCTACATCCCGTGTGCATGCTGTTAGCGCTGGTGATTCAGGGTTAGTATGTAGTCTGTTGCAGTCAGTACATATACCCACTTCCAGCACCTCATCAACAAACCTGTTTCAGCAAATGCATATAAGATTCAAACAGATTTTTGTTTTAATTTAATTTGATCATTCAGTTTTGTGAATACTCTGTACAGTAATTAGCTAATAACTACACAGTACCGACACACAGAAGCTCGTGAAAAGCTCACTAGTTGTTCAGCTAAGCCAGTTAAAGACGCTTTTGGTGTGATTCAGTGAGCTTGTGCCTTTTTGAAAAAATACACTGCGCTCAGGCTGCACTGAACATGAGCTTGGAAAACACAACTGCTGATCTGAGAGCTGCAGAGCCTCATCAGTTAAACAGCGTTCTCGCCATATACGCAGCAGAGGCACCGCCGCAATATCGCTACTGTAAGAAATTCAGTCAATAGAATCCATTCACTGTTAACTCAAAGACTCACCCATCCCTACAGGGATTGATATTGAAAAAAATTGAACGATACCCAGCCCTATATGTAAATCACATCTAATTTATAGATTTTGTGTGTGTGTGTGTGTGTGTGTGTGTGTATGTGAAGAAAACCTCTTATCTCCAAAATGGTAACTTTACAGAAGAAGGAAAAAACCTACTTTACTTTTAATATAAGTAAGTAGAACCAGAAATTTTTACCATTTTGTGCCGTTTTGTTTGGTCCATTCATCATGAAATTTAAATACAATGTAAAGGGCAACAGATATTTTCAAATTATGTCAAAAACTGAAAAATATGAGATATGAGGTTTTCTTCTGACAATCCGACAACAGTGATATATGTGTGTGTGTGTGTGTGTGTGTATATATATATATATATATATATATATATATACACACACACACACACATAGTGGTCAAGAATATGCTCACTGTGATATTAGGCTGACTTTACACACTGAAACCTTCATGCTTTACATGCAACTAGTCACATGTTGAGTTTCCCTGCTAAATAATTTCCATGCAGTTGATCAGTTACAAGAAGCAATTCAAAAACAGTCACGCAACACATTCAGTGACTCAACTAGTCTCCCGTATTTTCAATATATCGCATCATTCTTGCTTTAAATTCACTCAAGTGTGGCCTTTTTATAACCTTTTTATTTTTTTCCAGATGCCATTGCCGTCTTTTTTCTACATCTATATATCTCTTTTATCTAACTGTGCTTCTTTGCTATGTATTTGCGTTTCTGGCTGAATCTTGTAAGTCATGATAACAGCTGGCCAACAAAAGGGTGCATGTTGGCACAAGCAGCTGTTAGTGTCAGCTGGCTAGTTTACTAGCTAATTAATTAGGTAGTTACGGAAATGTTAGCTTTGAGAAACTACCACCTTGTTTTTATTTTCCACTGATTGAGTGAGATCAGTTGTTTGAAGTGAGGCCATAAGATGTGTTTTTGCCATTTTAATTGGCTGTTTCATGAGACTTCTTTCATGAAGATAAGATGCTTGCAACTGTTGCAGTTAAGTTTCAAGTAAGTTGCGGGGTCTCTTTTAATCACCCAGTACACTGTTCTGTTTTCGTTTCTTGTCCACTGATTGAGAGAAATCAGTCGTTTGAAATGTCACACAGTGTGTTTTTGCCATTTTAATCGGCTGTTTCATGAAACGTCTTTTACGAAGATGCGTTGCTTGCAACTGTTGCAGTTGATTTTTAAGTAAGTTGCAGTACACTTTACATCATACATCTCAAGTGCAGTTTAGTTTCATGCAGGTTTAAAGCAGCTAGTTGGGTCAAAGTTTCACTGTGTAAAGCCAGCCTTACCACCTTGTTATTAGTTTGCTGTTAAAGAAGGGGCGGCTGATACTGTTGATTCAAATGCAGGTGCTGGCCGTATTGAGCTGTGCTCCAGCCTGCTGGAAGGTGGCATCACACCCAGTGTTGGTGAGTACACCCACACACACACCCACACACACACACAGACTCATGTCTTTGGTTTAAATAGATCACTGCTGTCCGAAGAAAACCTTGCATCTTTATTTTTGTCGTTTTTCAGTTTTTGACATAATTTGAAAATGACTGTTGTCCTTTATATTGTGTGTAAATTTCGTGATGAAGTGACTAAAAGAAATGACCCAATGCTACTTGGAAAAATGTCTGGTTCCATTGACTTACATTAAAAGTAAGGTGAGTTTTTTCTTCTCCTCTAAAGTTACCATTTGGAGATACAAGGTTTTCTTCCAACAACAGCGAAATAGTAATAGTAATGATGCATAAAAGAGAGATTTCAATCAAAGGTGCTAACATTTCTTCAACCAGTGGAAGCTGTCAGAGGCCATTCAGCATTTTGCAAATGTGATTATTTTAATAGTAAAATATACAAATTGAAATTAAGCTAATTAAAATATTGGGTGTGGATTGATGTCGTTGAAAGTATCGACACTTCCTAAATTCCTTAATTGCATTTCCTTCACAGTTACATTCACTTGGATTGACATTCACATCCTCATTATTCAAACATTAATCAATCCAATTTAGACCTGTTTGATTTTCTTCTTTATGCTTTTCAGTGTTAGACACAATTTACAATTTTCCTCTGAGGCTTATACTGTTTGGTTTTATGTACCAAAACATGTCATAATTTATGTTTACATAACCTTTTTTATTTATTAGTTAACACAACCATTTTTCTTTCTATCTATCTATCTATATATATATATATATATATATATATATATATATATTCAGTACAGATATATATATATAATTCTTTTCTAATTGCCGTGTTTAGTTACTTATTCTAAAAAGAACAACACTTCTTGTAACTTCAGTAAGAATGGGTGGGCCTAAGAGGCTGTAGGCTGCATATATGTAAATATTTTGGTTTATATTTTAGCAGTTCTATTTAGACTTTATGGAACGGGTAGTGAAGGTTATCTTTTCAGACTTGTTTTTATACATCAGCCGTTTTTCCCTCATTTTCCATGATGGGGGCACTTTAAAAGAATGGATATTTTGCGCCTTGTAGATTAGAGAGTACTCCTAGCCTAGGGTGTTAACGTCAGCTGAGTTAACTTACATTAGCATTTGTCTGTTTGCTTAAAAGACTGGCTGCTTTTCTCTGTGTAAATTTCAAGCCACATCTGATCTGCTGTGGCTTTCTGTGATCTCGAAATGGCTTTGATTTAATGTAGTAATGGCAAAATGCCGAGTGGCCCACTGTGTGCCGGTGTTGTGCTCCCCTTCATGTGCACGTGCATCACGCAGGCATATGGATGCTACAGATTACAGTTGTGATGTTGTTTCTTTGTGTAAATAATGGTTAATCTTCGGTTTATGTTCACAGTAAGCACCAGAACAGGAACTAAAACCAAACAAAGAGTCTCACAGTGAGAGTTTAATTTCATGTAACAAAGTAAAGACGTTGGTTGGAACTGAATGCCTTTCAGTCAGTATTAAAATAAGTCTTTTGTGGGGCTCCCGAGTGGCGCAACCGTCTAAGCGTTGGCCCTATCATCAGGAGATCGCGAGTTCGATCCCTGGTGATGCTACAGCTGTCCATAGCTGGGAGTCCGAGAGAGCACAATTGGCCTCACTCTCTCTGGGTGGGTGGGATGGCCCCTCCTTCTCCCCCCATCACTCAGCGCGATGCTAGTCAGCGCAGGCGTCTGTTAGCTGACGTAACAGATCTGGCGGTTGGCGCTTTCCTCCGAGCGCGTTCGGCTGTCCAGTGACGTTGCGTGAGTGGCAGTTCGAAAAGAAGCGGTGGTTGGCTTCACAGGTCTCGGAGGAAGCCTGTGTTAGCCTTCACCCTCCTAGCGTTGATAGCATCGTGTGACTGGGGGAGTCCTAACTAGCGGGTGGAATTGGAGACGACTAAATTGGGGAGAAAATCGGGGAAAAATTAAAAAAAAAACAAAAAACACTTTGAACACTTTAAACTCAGTTTGAAGTTGTGTGTAACTTCATTAAAAATTGTGGTTTAGAATTTTTGGACAGTGCGTCCGGAGTGTGGTGGCCAAGAATTCCCATATGGGTGCATCCCTAATTTTAACCTCTCTGAACTGCTGTCGTCAGGTCTGCTGCAGGTGGTTAAAGAGAATGTACAGATCCCTGTTTACGTGATGATCCGGCCCCGTGGGGGAGACTTCCTCTACACAGACCGGGAGGTGGAGGTGATGAGGAGGGACATTGAGCTGATGAAGATCCACAGGGCTGATGGCCTGGTGCTGGGGGCGCTGACGGAAGACGGACGGGTGGATGCTGAGCTCTGCATGGAGCTGCTGGGTAAATTCTAATGACCAGTTACCCAGTAATGGCCATAGTTGAAGATTAAGGAGATGCTTCAAATGCCAGTGTCTCCAACAGTGAATGAACACAATTGGGGGTCTGGTAGCTTTATCTAATTTGCATAGTATTAATTGATATAGTACTATGTGTATCTATAGCACTGCACAGTGTCAAGTCTTTCCAGGCCTGGCGTACCTTATCCAGTTCATCGACTGATTATTGAGCCCTTTATTTGTTGGATCAGGTGTGTTAAAGCAGTGAAACTGTGCAAGGCGGTGAGTCCCCAGGAGCAGGATTAAGGAACACTTCTTTAAAAGAGCCAAATCCTGCATTTTCATGTATTTTATTATTTTTTTTCCTCCTGAGGACCGCTTAAAACGTTTGTGCGGGTTAATGTACCAAACGGTCGTAGTTCTTTTTTCACATAACCATTTTATAACCTCCCTTTATTGCTTTTATTGCCTTTTTGCAACATTTCAGTGTGAAAGGGAGGGAACAAACTGTAGGCTGCCATAGGCTGAATAGGTGGAAATAGAGCTGGACAATATGGCAAAGTTGTAAAGTCACGATATAAAGTTTTCATGGCACACAATATTTGACAATCTCTTTTTTTCTGACATCTGATTTGCCACATTTAAAAGAAATACTATCAAAAACTGTGAATGTAGTGATTTGTATTCAGCAGTTTGCACACTGTACTGCATTAAATCCAGTTAAAGGGAACAAATCGTGCTTGTAATCAAACATGCAGTGAGGAAGTGTTTTTTAAGTACTGATAATATTCACAGGTCACTCAGAAGAGCATATTCTAATATATCGTGACTTAGTTTCTCACGATAACAATAAATATTGCCATGTTACTGGGCCCTAGTTGGAAATATGTTAATATGCTGATTTTTATGTCATTACAAAAAACAGTTCAGTCAAAATATATGAACTGTATATGAAATATAAACTCAATGGACTGAAATAGTAATAGAATATTAACATTAATAATGCTTGTATATAATTTTCTTTTATTCCAAATTCAATTTTGCACAATATGCATCCTTTCAATGGAGAATTGGGCTGCTTAATATGTCGCTTGTTAATTGTTAATACAATTTTGACCTGAAGGCTGAAATATGTAAATGAGATCTCTGACCAGTCAGTGTATGTTTTATTGTGTGCCATGAGTATCCACCCCAATCTTAGATGCTACAGATGAGTTGATCCCACAAATGTAAATCATTTATAGGCTATTCCTGACAGAAGTGCAGTCATTACTCTTTTTATGTAGTGATACAAAACTATAGTAGTTATCCAGAATGCAGGATTCACATAAACCAAACCAACACTGCAGCACCCTTCAGTATAAAGCATGCATCCGTTCATCGCAGCCCAATGAAGACAACGTAACTAAGTTAAAATGAGACAGCTGAGATTTAAAGTCAAGTAAAAACAGCACAGCGACATAAACCTTGAATTATTGTAGGCAAAAGCATTTTGCTACGGAGTAAAAAAATGGTTATGGCCCATTTATGTCTTAGCTTTGATGACTTGTTGCACTAAAGTAACGTTTTCTACACAAAACCCATATTCAGCCTTTTTAACTCTTATTCCCCAAGTTATATTTTGGTTTGTCCGTCTGAATTTACATGACCAAATCGTAGGGCAAATTATTCAGTAACTGCATGAAATAAATGTAAATTTAAATTTTATTTTATTTGTTTATTTATTTATTTTAAAAGCTCCCCTCAAATTAACAGAACATGTGTTTTATGATCACACATATTGCTGTATGCTTACAATTTACTGCAGAAAGCCAAAAATCTTAAACGCTTTTCCATAAAAATAATTTTTACAGAGCAGATCACTGAAGAGACGCCATCTGTTTATAGTTTATAGCTCAGATTTGTGGAAAAATGGGTCGACTTTCAGTAGGAAAAAAAATTCAGAAGTTCAACTTCTTTTATTATAAGGGTTTAAAATTACATCACCCATCTATTTGACTGGAAAGAAGACTTTAGAATGTAGCTTATGAAATGTGAAAGTTATGAAGAATATGACAGTGTGTTTTGGAACCACCGGTGGTCCCAAGGAGTTCAAAAGGTTAATAAAAGAGCATTGTCAGTACCAGGTTTGCAGAAAACTAACAAAGATGGCATTTTTTAAAATTAGTTTTTGGTTTTGGAGTCTCACTTTTAAACGACCAGTAGTCGTCAAGCAGTGATTTGAGGGCTGAGGGAAGAAGAAGAGCTTGGCAAAGAGTGTAATGGTTTCTCACAGAGTTCACACTCACATAAAAAAATAAATATTGTTAAATTAATAAATATTCTTCCCTCATTTGATAAAGTAGGCCAGTGACCAAGCTGGCCTACCCCTGGCTGTTCCCCTGGCACTCATGCCTTGTTTATATATGTATGTATTTAGCCTGTTTAGAGCATATTTCTTTGGAATCCCCTTCATTACAGTAAACCTTACTAAAGCAATTCGAATCAGGTTTTAGCTTGAGAAACATTAGATGAAGTGCTTTTAATTAGTTATACTGATTCTAAAGGCGCTTGAATTGCTGCAGTGAATCACCAAATTGAGTTGATGTTTAGTGAATCGAGCCGCCTCATTCATAATTCACTATAATCACTTTTGAATAAACTAAATCAAGTCGATAACCAATAAATCATGAATTGAATCATCAGCTCTAGTTGAAACTAAACTCTCCAGGATGGTGGATCACTTTGACCAGTATTGGGAATCTCTGCATTACACTAATATCTAATATATTAATAAAACGTGTTATTGTATACTACACATTGTATATTATGTAGTATCTAAAATTATTATAGTATATAATTATAGTATAAGTATATTGTACTGTAGGATGTAGAATAATTGTTATGTAGCAATTGTAGTATGTAATTTTGTGTAGCCTTAACTGAGACTTTTAACTCCAGGCTTAGGCTTAGTTTGTTTTCTAAATGAGAAAACAAATTAGGTTTGGCTTTTTGTTTGTTTTGTTTTGTTTTTTGGATACCAAACTGACTGCTATGTGACCCGTAGTTAAATACTGGTTTAGCAGTATCTGATATTATGAAATTCACTGCGCTTTTGTGCTTGTTTCTTTTCATTACAGCTGTTTGTCGACCTCTCCCTGTTACTTTTCACAGAGGTAAATGAAGTGTTTTTTTTTTTTTTGTTCTAACGTTTGTGTTAGTAGACGCACAGGAAAGAGCCTCTCAATGATTCAAATATTTGCCATTTGAAAGTAATCTATTAATGATATGTGACTGCTGATGTGGTCCTGTGTACATTTCAGCTTTTGATATGGTCCACGACCCCTCGGTTGCCTTAGAAACGCTGGTCTCCCTGGGCTTTGAGAGGATTTTGACCAGCGGCTGCGACAGCTCTGCGTTGGAGGGCTTACCTCTCATCAAACGCCTTGTGGAACAGGTCAGCTGCATCTCCACACTTGTGCCTCAAAGGCTTCTTCTTTCAGTGACCAAGTGTCAGTTTTAGCAGTAATCGAATGAAACATGTTATCATGTTTTAAGCCAGTTCTCTGTAGCTTCTGTACCTCTACTGGGAATGTGTGGCTGGGTCTCAGAGCCTTTGTGCTGGCAGGAGTGACTGCAGTCCAGGATTGTATCTGAATTTCAAAGCCAGAGTTTTTCATTCTGGATGCAAATATAGCTGGTTAACTGTTGTAATAACACGTTTTCAGGTTAATTAACAATGTTATGATAATATACCAGATTATTAACAATAAAAAAGCAGAAATAACGAGGAAATATGAAGATCTTGTATGGAAAAAAGGTCACATGCAGGATGGAAACGGTAGTTTAGAACAGCTTAGAATAGTTTTTATCCCGCTTAACCTTAAATGTAGTCTTCTTGAGTTTTGCACCTGAGCTACAAGGGTGATGGATGCTTATTTCCAGCGAAGAACCACGACTATTAGATTTAGACCTTCAGTTCGGTCCTCACCTCTATGATAATGCTAATTTCTGCCAGCTCCCTCATAGGATTTCTAATAGTGTGTTAGCACTGTTCTAATGCTGGTGTGCATAAACCTTTTTTTGGCCGTTGTTCATTTAACACAGACCTTTTAAAATATATTCTGTGTTCTTTATTTGAAACTCTTCAGATAATTAGTCTTACCCTGCGTTCACACCAGCAGCAACACGGCAAGACGGCTGGAGGTCCTTCATTTTTAATGAGAGCTGGCGATTTCCGGCGACGGGAGGCAGTGAATCAGCAAGTTGAGTGAAGTTTAACTTTATGCAAATGAGGAGCGAAGCGACGTGGCGATTACCAATAGGAATTGAGCATTGAGCGGGGTAGTACTCGCTTTTTCTCCGCCACTGTGAAACTATTCCTCCGAGATGGATTAATGGCGGCGGCGCAAATAGACAGTAATCGCAAATACCAAATATTTTTATTGATATTTATTTTTACTGTTATTTTGTTTTCCACACACACTGACTGCGGGGATTAAATAAAAATAAGCACACAAGCGATTTCTCACCAGTTTTTTATTTTTAGAGAGAATGCACCTGATTTGTGTTTGGTATCAATGAAACTATAGCAACCAATGGTCCCACATGGAAAACACCCATATGCGATAAGTGATCAGTGCTTTGGGTGATGAGGCGAAAAGTTGCTGCTGATATGAATGCAGGGTAAGAGTTTTAGAGGAAGGGAGACTCTGGAACGAACCCAGTTTGACACCCCTGGCCTAGGCAGAGGTCGAGCTCACTTGGATGTATCTGCCTAGATATATCGGCGATGAAAATTCAGACAAGATTTTAACCCTTACGGTTTCCAACCAAAACTTAATGAAATAAGAGTTTTACCACAATAATTCCATTGTTACCAATATAGACATGTATTTTTGGTTCTGGGACATTAGTAGGGCCTAGAAGGCGCTTAGGGTTCCCAACTGCTTATGTGTCACGATTTAGTATTTTGCATATTTCATACTGAAATTACTTGACTCAGGTTATTTCACATACGCTGCGTTCACATTACCAGATTGAAGTGGCACAAATCTGATTTTTTGCCCTAATGTCACTCAGCTCTGATGTTTTCAGGGCTGTGTGGACACGCAAATCTGATCTTTTCAAATCCGACCTGAGCCACTTTGATATGTGGCTGTAGACTGGATATGTATCCGATTCGTGGCCATGCACTCTTAACTGAGAACACTCCGATTGGATTCCGTATATTGTTTTTCCACTGCGCAGAGTTACTCTGGCAGCAGCGCCAAACAAAAACTAAAGCCTGTAAACGGTGAAAAAGCAGCACATCTTACCTTTTTGCTGTTGTCTTACCTGTTTGCCTTTTTTTTCTGATAGTGTATATAGTGAATCAGCACATAGTGATTATGATTTCAGGCACTGGCTAGGTCCCAGGAACACTGGGACACTGATGACTCGATTACACTGATGCGGTGACGGTGCTCTATGGGTACCATCATTTCATGAATGTTTTATTTTGTTTACATGAGCCACATTAACCTGCAGCCTGATAATCAGTTAATAATCAGACTAATAGCTCAATCGGAATAGAATATGTCCATGTAAACACCTCAGTCAGAATAGACTAGTCCGATTGAGGCCATTCAGAATACAGTTCCTATCCGACTGAACGAGGTGGGTAATCCTGTAAATAATCCGTTAAATAGAATAATATCCATGTAAACCTGTGTCTGATTACATTCCCTATTGGAAAGTTTAAGTCCGTTCTGATCATGTTTGTCACGTCATAGTGAAAGTTTAACATGGCGGAGCAGAAACTGGTCTGCAGAGGAGACGAAGTTTATGCTCTGATCTTTAAAAGACGGCGGTGGGACGGACGTCCAGCTTATGTGTCTCAGAACACGACGTCTTCCTCTCGGCCTTCTTTAATAAGGACACGTGAAGGACGTTTTCCTGAGTCTGACATCATTTTAATGTCATTAAAAACACAAGCACTGCTCACTGCTGCTCATCTCACTCTGACTAGACTCACGTGATGCTGGTCGTCATGGTAACGTCTATACTAAGTGGTTCTCTGTGCATGCACAAAATTTTGGATCGGATTACTTGTAGTGAGCATGTAAACGGAGATTTTCTATCAGATTGTTGAGTAGAATGAGAATTTAAACACCTCAGTCTTAGGCCCAGTCCCATTTCACCCCGGCCCCTACCACTCAGCCCTTCCCCTCCATTTTGCGCGTTCACGTCTAGGGGTAGGGTGTGCCAATTCTTGATGAGATAAAGGGTTAGGGTGAAGTGTTAGGACTACATGACCCTCCAAACAGAGGTTTTTCAGAGACTCACTCCAAACAGCATTTTGAGAAAAAAAGAAAAACCGGCAAGACGGCTGAGCAAGAGACTAAAGAGACCCACAAATGTGAGAATTTTCTCTGTTAAAAATTACAATAATGATTGTATCACCCTAGTTTAGTGTCGTTTCAATGTTTTATGATCCTTTTCTTTGTAACAAGCATAATAAGTCGCTAATAGTATGCTAATGTCTCGGTAGCTAACCAGCTAAATTTACAGTTTCACCTTAAATAGTCCAGCAGTTCTGATGCCTGAATGTAACTGCTGCTCCATTTAAGGTAGAACAGGAATTCGAACAAGAAGCTGGTGAATATCTGACTTCAGCTTCATATCACTGAAGAATTAGGGGTGGGTGATAATAAATAATTGCCCCCCTCTTTGAAGGCATATGATTCCCTAAATGTAACTAAAGCCCAGCAGTGAGGAGCTGAACTTTACCCTCCTCTGCTGTCACTGCAGACTGGCAGGGTCGCCTACAGAGCAGCGCTGGTAGCTGTTAATGAAGTGATGCTCTTTTTACTTGAGGGTCCCATTTCATAGAGGAAGATTTCAACCACTACCTCTTGTAACTCAGTTCCAAAAGGCAAAGAGACCATAGAAAACAAGGGGCAGGGGTAGAAATAAGAAATATGATTGGGCCCAACAAGATACTTAAGAAGGCAAAACAACACCCCTGCCTTGTAAGCAGTTTTGAACAATGGAGGAAATCTGAGGAGATATTAGTGAATGTTTGCTGCTGAGAGTGTTGCACAAGCGCTCGTTTGAGACAGAAACAGCTCTGCCTGAGACAGAAGAGCACAGCTGGGAACCTGGCACAAAGGATCACTGATTGCCAACTACCTCAGATCAAACAGTGACATCGCACAATCATAACGTTTAACCCCATCTTACATAAAGTATCGTCTGTGTTACATTAGAGACTTTATCCCCTTTAGCTCATTAATATCTGCCTCCAGAGTAGTTGGAATACATGGATGTCCATGTTCGCCATACTAAAATGTATCAGCGTGAGGAATAGTGCGTGCTACCATGCGTTCTGTCACTGCGTAAAAGAAATGCTGCCTTTATTGTTGAACAAATTGCAGTAGTTTCTGATTGAGTGTGCACACATTTAGAAAGGAATTTAACTCACCAAGGACTTGGTGAGAACAGTAAAAGGCGACTGAAGTGTGACCAACAGTGCTGTGCAAAAGTGATTTATTTAAATTTCAGTTAAAACAGACATTTGGTGTCAGAAAAAAAACAGGCAACGCGTATTTAAAAGAAATTTGCAGAAAAGCATCTGACGCTCCGTGTAATAGAACATCTTTCAGTATTATATTTGTCCACAAAGCTGTTCCTGAAGTTCAAAAAATGGGCTCCTAACAACCACCTGGAAGACCTGGTAAACACCAAAACTGCCTCCATCAGATAAACAACACTTCTTCACAAAGCTTTCATCTTTGAGAGAGAGGAGAAAATCAAGCTGCTTCAGATCTGAAAACATCCACAGGGGTTTCTGTCCATCCTTCCACTGTGAGAAGACGACTCAGCGCTGTGGGTCTGAAAGGATGTGTAGCTGTCAAGAAGAACCTTACTGAGAAAAGGAAACGGACACATCAAACAAAGAAGCTGGACAATGGACTGACCACCCCAGAGTCCAGACCTCAACACCACTGAATGTGTTTGATTACTTCAGAAAATGATCAACCAACTTCTAAGACTGAACTTTGGAGGTGTGTCTGCAGATTCTTCGAGGAACTGAAAGCGAGTCTCCTGAAAAGAATGGAAGCTGGAATAAAGGCAATTTGTGGACACATGAAATACTGAAAATAATTATATTTATTTGTTGAGGCTTCTGTCGAAGTTAGACCTTATATACATATTAAAACAAACATTGAGAAATCTTGTTATTAAAAAAGGAAAATAGATGAAAAGTAAGAAATATGTGCTTTTTTTGCCTTATCATTAAAGGGTTAATGCACTCTGGTTATAAACTGAATGGCCTTGAAAAGATGGAAGGGGGTTCATAAAGTCAGTTTGAACCCAAAATCAATAGGCTTTATTTTTTCATACTTCACTGTTTACATACAGCTAGAATAAATAAACAGAAATTAAAATTTGTCAGTAGGCCTACACAATCAAAAGGCAGGCGGTCCTTGGTCAGTTTAAGCCTTGCCGCACTCTCTGACTGGTCCAAATGTTAGCTTATATGCTTACCGTTTCCTCTCAAACAGCTTAATATAATATAAATAAAAAAAATCTTTGCTCACACAAACATATTGACATGGCTGTTAATAAAGTTTTGTTTTCTCTGTCTTTATAACTGCCGCCATGCTGTTAAATGTGTGTAAGGCTTCCATTCAGAGCCTGATTTAGTGTACAAAAAAAGGCAATATGGTGATATGACTGGTGTGGAGCTGAGTAGAGCTGTGTAGAATTGAGGTGTAGCCGCTGTCACATAGACTATTGTTGGGGTAGGAGAGTCAGAGCACATCACGTTGCAGTGCATGTTGGGGACTGTAGTGCAGCACATTGTGAAACAGGCTAATATTAATAGAAAATTAAAACATTTTTGCGAGCCGGAGAGGATTGTGTTGAGGGCCTGATCTGGACCGTGGGCCTTGTGTTTGACACATGGGGCGTAAGACAATGTAACACATTTATTTTTTTTCCTAAATAACTTTAAAGGTAAATGAGGAACATTAGTGTTATTTTTATAGACCTACACATCTCTGCTACAAACAAAAACATAAACCTTGTTTCCAGCACCTTAAGTTTATGAACAGTTCAGCCGAGAACAGTGAGTACAAATAGATGGAGAGATGCTAGTTGTGGCAGTTGCTAAAAAATCTGGTAAATTGATGCAAAACACTGTAATTTAATACAGGTCTGTATTGTTTGACCCAAACAAGCTTTCCATCATTAAGATGTTGAAATATGTGCATTAAAATAAATATGATTAGTGAAAGAGGCTGTGGCAAATTTATGTTTGACCACAAAATAGAAAAGCAAATATCAAACAAAAAGAAATTGTAAAAATAGCAAGGTACTTTTTTGTGCATAAAATATTTTGAGTTTATATGAGGAATGGAGACGTCTCTTATTTGTTACTTTAGTGTTACACTGTGTTAAAACTAACTCCACCGTGTGGAGACCATAATTTAGCCTGGCTAGTTCTCCCTGCGAGTTATTTTATATTATAAAACGATGATTGATACATCTTGATGTACTTTTTTTTAATACAGGACTTCTTACTGTGTGACGACTTGGTGCTTTTAAAGCAAAGTATTTGTAATGTACAATAAATTTACTTCCAATATCTTTTATTAAGAAATCTAATGGAAGCGATAAAGCAAGTGAACTGGAAGACTCTGATTCACTGCTCTTGTTTGGAGCACATGAGACACAGGCTGCCACTCATCTGTGATAAAATGTGCAGTTACGGTGAAATAAGATGGCAATTTAATTGATAATCACTTAAAATTTAGAAAATCAATTTTTGACATTTTGATTCAGAATCGTCCATGTCGGCATCGTGATGCGTCCGAGATCTGTTTTGTTCCCTCACCCCTATTTCAGGGTGAATCTGGAGGAATATCTGGCCGACTGTCGCTAGAATTTGCAGAGGCAGTGCTATAAGAATACAAGAAAATGACACGTTCCACTTGAACTTGTTTAACTACATATAATTCATATTAAATTTTACCCTCTGTTAGTTTCTGCCCCATTCTTTCCTGCTTTTAGCAGATATTTTATCAGATATTGATAAAACCGCAGGTTGCATTGTCCGATATTATCTGTCAAGTTGTAATATTTTTACCAATGTGTCTGACCTGATTTTATTAGCTAGACTCAGCTCAAAACTGTTTAGCAACTAAACTGTGAAAAAGCAGCACATCTTACCTTTTTGCTGTTGTCTCCTGCCAATAATGAACAGCTGAGAGCTGATCAGAGTTAACTGAAGTAAGCACAAGTGTTTCCGGATGCTACCAGGTAGCCTGAGGTTTTAAGGAAGCAACAACGTTAACTAAGGGAGTTAAGACTCAGAATTTTGTAAGCAGCCAGCAGTGCACATTTGGGCTACAGGGAAAATTATGATTGATAAATGTAAACATGGGCTGTGTCTCGATTCTATATTCCATTGCAATTATCATTTTTAAGTTGTATTGACTCCACACACCCTGTTTAGTCTCCAGCATTTTTATATTAATGTTTTGTTTAAAATATTAGGTTATGAAAATGTGCAAATACATACTTTTCACCTAGGAAAAAACAAATTTAAAGGATACAATTAGCCTTAAAACCACGGTTGTACCTTTGAGGGAACATTTACATTGTTTGTACCTTGATGAATGAAAAATGTACCTGCACAGAACCTTTTTTTCTGACAGTGTATGTAGTGAATCAGCACGTAGTGATTATGATTTCAGGCACTGGCTAGGTCCCAGGAACACTGGGTCACTGATGACTCAATTACACTGATGTGGAGACGATACTCAGTGGGTACCATCATTTCATGAATGTTTTATTTTAACTAATGGAAACGCTGCACTAAATGTGCAGCATATTTCCAAGGTAGTAATGTCACAAATGTGATGTTTTCCACAAAATAAACCTAGTGAGAAATCAAACCACCTTGCGAGCCGCAACATTTTTTTGTCCATTTTACCATCTTGGCTGTAAATATGTCTCAGTATGTGCTGATGTACTAGAATAGTCTAATAAATATAAATGAAAATGCAGACTTACTTTGCTCTGCTTTAATCTTTAGCTCAGCTATAGCCGCTTTTCTCGCAGGAAACTTTTCCTCAGAAATAGACTAGTTTCTTGTAAAATGTCTCTCAGCGTTCAACTTTTTTTTACGAGGCTCAAGTCAGCTTCTTATTCAGATTTTCCCGTTCCACCTTAAATTGTGCCTGAGGCGCCAGAATGTGACTGCTGCACCTTTTAAGGTGGAACAGGAGAATTTGAATGAGAAGCTGGCAAACGAGAAGCGACTTCAGCTTCTCAACTTTTTAGTGTTTGTCAGGTTCTCATTGCAGATTAAGCCGTCAGGAAACCAGCTGGAGTGATTATAATGCTAATAAGTCCATTTGTTTTGTTAGCTACTAGCTAGGTGAGATTGTTGTCTGTGTTGCTATGGTGACCACCAGTCTGCGCTGATCTTCAGGGTTAAAGGGTGAATTAGCAGTTCTACATTAACTCCAGAGTTTAAGACCATTTATCGTTAAACTGTGTTAAAACGATCAGCAGAGCTTTATTTTACTGTAAAGGAGGATTATTTTATTTTTACCTAAATCTAAATTTTGTCCTGTTCTGTTTTACCTAAATCTAATTCTGCTGCGGAGCCACAACGGGGCAGTAAAGAGCGGCATGTTGCCGACCCCTGTGTTAAGGTATAGCGAGCATACAAAGACTACGGACTATGAAAGACTACTGACTTGTGTTGTAATTACTTTGAAAAGCGAGGTGTCCCTGAACTTTAGCTGAGCAGTCTATGTTCTTGAATTGTCCACTGCAGCTGTTTTACTGTCAGTGCTTCATTTATTGAAAAACAACATATCAATGAATGGACGTGACGAATGCTGAGGCTCCAGAGAAAAGGAAATTCTGAGAATCCACAAAGCAGAGTGGTTAGAGATTGAGCTCTGGCGTGAGGTATCGTACAGTGTCCCTTAATTCATGTTTAATGTGATGGAATTCTAGCTATAATGCTGTGTAAATGTCAGGGTGCTGTAATAATACTCCACTGCCTTTTTTTTTCCTGACAGGCAAAAGGCAGAATTATTATAATGCCAGGTAAGTCTGTGACATTTGACTTGATATTGTGATCCAAGAAAAATCCCCATAAAACCAGCGCATTGGTTGTTATTTAATCTCCTCATCCAGGAGGGGGCATCACTGAGCGCAACCTCCAGAGGATTCTGGAAGGCTCCGGTGCCCAGGAGTTCCACTGCTCCGCACGCTCGGGCAAAGACTCCGCCATGAAATTCAGGTAAGCTGCAAAAGAAGACGTCTTCAGCCAGTGTTTGACGCTTCACCTGCTGGTAGAGTAGGGGTCTCCATGTGTTGAATAAATACTTTTATGGTACATTACCTCTGTTTGACCAGCACTGGATGCTAATTATTACTTAAAGGGGAACTCCACCAGTTTTTCAAAATGTCCACAAAGTGGCTTGATATGATGTTCACAGTGGTGGTGATAGGAACCAGACGTCCACCTCTAAAAGCTCCCTCACAGAAAGTTACTACATTAAATGGATATGAATTCACTGCCTGATGTCTGAGACACTGTTCTATGACAGTTTTGTGATTAAAGTTTTGGCTTAAAATGTGTTTTAATTCATTCACGATGGAGAGGTACATGCAGGGCGTTGTGAGGCAAAATAGTCCCTAAAGATTTTGAATTTTGGATAGTAAATAAAATGTCTGTATTTGTATTGTAGTCATGGCAACCCCTGGTTCCTATCACCACCACTGTAAAGAAATCCGAGTTGGTCGTTGTCTCTACAAATGAATTATTTCACAACAAATTACAGCTGTGTCTGATCCACTCATACCAGCACAACACACACACTAACACACCACCACCACATCAGTGTTACTGCAGTGCTGGGAATGATCCACCACCCAAATATCTGTGAGGGTCCATGGGGGTCCTGACCACTGAAGAACAGGGTAAAAGGGGGCTAACAAAGTATCAGAGAAACAGATGGACTACAGTCTGTAACTGTAGAACTACAAAGTGCACCTATATAGTAAGTGGAGCTGATAAAATGGACAATGAGTGTAGAAACAAGGAGGTGGTCATAATGTTATGCCTGATCGGTGTGTTTTTATATATATATATATATATAATGCCTGTTGCCCTTTACATTGTATGTAAATTTCATCATGGATATATATATATAAATTTCATAAAGCATATAATAAAATAAGGGATGTATAAATTTTCTTAAGAATAAGGTTAAGAAAAAACACATTTTAGATTTTCTTTCTTAAGACACTTTCATGAATCCAACCCCAGACGTGCCACATTAAAAAAAAAAAAATACTGTGAAAAACAACGAATGCAATGATTCGTATTCAACATTTCACATCCTGTGCTGTAATAACTCCAATTAAACAGCACTAATTATGCTCTCTTTTTAATTAAACATGCAGCTGGTGATGGTTTTGATAGTCCATGATTCACTCAGGGAAATACATCACAGTAATGAAAAATATGGTCACATTGCTCAGCCCTATTGTAAAGTACTCTCATCATATTAGAATCATTTATATGATTAGTATCAAACCTTTAAAAGACTATTTTAACCTGAATCTCACATCTGCAACTTCCCTCCTGCAGGAACTCCAGCGTGAACATGGGAGCGTCCCTCTCGGCACCCGAGTACTCGCTGAAGGTGGCCGACGTGGCTAAAGTGCGCACTCTGAATGCCATCGCCAAGAACACTCTCTAGGGGCACCGTGGGCCGAGCTTTGGAAGGGAGCAGGTCCTCCTTGAGTTGGAGCAGGTCCCTGTGTCCACCACACCACACTCACTGATAAAGAACGATGCTGGCTTGGAGTTAAAGATAGTTCTATTTTTGATGTTTACAAACCTCAACAATTTTTTTATGCTTCCTATGCTTCATTTGCTTTAATTTCCCTCGGACAGTAAAGACCTGGGGCAGAACGTCCCTGTATGTGCATTTCTGTTTGAATTCCATCCGACTGCAGGCTTCAGCGCTTAAGTGCGATTTGTTGTTCTTCTTTATCTGATTAGATTGGCTTGCTTAGACCAGCTGTCAGTGTGTGGCCATTTGCTGAAATAGTGTTCTTGCCTGATTATGCTCCAAATTGAAAAAAAAAAAGCCTGGGTGAGTCTTCAAGGAAATTACTACACTGTGGAGAAGAATCTGGATTCTCTAATTGCAGCTTTATTCAGTCTTGACTTCTAGTTTTATTCAGTCAGTCGCCACCACACCTGTGCTTTTTGTTCCTGGAATTAAACAGTTCAACTGGTTTCGAGCATGTTTATTATCGCTGTTGTTCACATCATCTAGTGACATATTGTAGGCCATCCTATATTTGTGTGTGATAATAATTAACCACAAACTGTGACAGAGAGCAGACAGCAGTGAGTAAACAACTTTGCTGTTGAGTCACTTGAGTTGAGTCACTGTTGAAGCCTGAGATGAGTGAAATGGCTTGTTTTATTTTCTTTTAGATATGTGTCTGGGGATCAGCTGAGTCATTCTCAGATTAAAGCAGCACTTCGTTAGTTTTTTTTATTAAAACTGAAAGAAGTAGGGTTACTGTGTCAGGAGAAAAAAAAACATGCTAATATTTGATGTGTACACGCTGCTGTGAGTCACCCTGCAAAGCCTGAAACAATCATTTAAAAGTGTCAGGTTGAATTTTGTGGTATTTTCAGACCTCATAATACGTCTTAATGTGTTAACGTCACACGCACAGCCTTAAAAAGAAGGTCCGGCTCAATGTTTAGGCCTCAAATGCAAAATCCACATTATACAGATATGATGACAATAGTGGATAATTCACTCTGATCCTCAGAAGACACATCCCACACCAAGTTTTGACTGAGTTATCTTTGAATTCTCCTTCAACACGCTCACAATCAGATTGTGATTGATCCGCTCGGGGGAGGAGTTCGAAGCACAACCCATGTCACAAAAAGTTGCTTGGCAGGGTGCATGCAATTAAACATTTCAACCAGTGAGGTCTCTAAATCCTCAAGTCAGTCAATCTCAGGTTAAGGTTAAGTCAGTCAATCTCAAGTTAAAGTAAAATCAGTCAATCTCAGGTTAAATCAGTCAGTCTCAGATTAAAGTTAAATCAGTCAATCTCAGGTTAAATCAGTCAGTCTCAGATTAAAGTTAAATCAGTCAATCTCAGGTTAAATCAGTCAGTCTCAGATTAAAGTTAAATCAGTCAATCTCAGGTTAAATCAGTCAGTCTCAGATTAAAGTTAAATCAGTCAATCTCAGGTTAAATCAGTCAGTCTCAGATTAAAGTTAAATCAGTCAATCTCAGGTTAAAGTTAAATCAGTCAACCTCAGGTTAAATCAGTCAGTCTCAGGTTAATTCAGTCAATCTCAGATTAAGTCAGTCAATCTCAGATTAAGTCAGTCCATCTCAGATTAAGGTTAAATCAGTCAATCTCAGGTTAAATCAGTCAGTCTCAGGTTAAATCAGGCTAAATTATTATCGCTAAATTGTTATCACTAAGTTTAGAAGTTAAACATTTTCATCTTAACTAAGTTTAAATTTCATTTGAATTTAAATTTTGTTTAAAACATCTAGTGCTGGATGATACATCGTATCAGTATTGACCGATTTAGCTTTTTTGTTTTAGCGAGATATTTGATAGATAATGAGCATTAAAGCCATGGAAGCGTTCATTAACTTTATTAATGCAAGCTTAAGTATCATCTGATACTATGATAATGTACACTCTCAGAAATAAAGGTACTAAACTGTCACTGGGGCAGGAGCCCTCCTGTCACTGGGGTGCTACCTTCAACGGTACATCTCAGCACCTTTAGTCAGGGAACATAACTGTACCATAATCCACTGAAATGATGTTTTCTAAGATGTACTGACTCCACACACCCCGTCTCGCCTCCAGGCTTTTATTTTACTGTTCTGTTTTAAAACATTCGGTTATGAAAAGGTACAAATATAAACTTTTCACCTGGAAAGACTTATTTAAGGTTCACAATCAGACCTTAAAACCACTGTTGTACCTTTGAGGGAACATTTACACTGTTTGTAGCTTAATGAACGTAAAATGTCCTGCACAGAACCTTTATTTCTAACAGTGTACATTCAGAAAATGTCTCGGAATTGGACTTTATTGACAGGCAGGAGGTAAAAATTACAACTCAAAGCCAAAGTTTGAAAAGAACCTTGGAAAGGAGAATTCTTAAGAGTGAGTGGGCTGCAAAAAAATTGCCCATGCTTGGATTTAGCCTTGAGCCTTAGGTTTAATGACACCTCTGATCTAATGCAAGTTTAATGTGCTGAAATCCACCATTTTGACCAATTTAGAGTTCAGCAGAAAAAGTGATCTGTCCTCAGATGTTACAAGGCAAGCCCTGGGCCCATGTGCACTGTTATGTGGAAAAAGGGGAACATGAACTCTTTCAGATGACCATTACATATGACTTTAGTATGACCCTTAGGAAAATGGAATTGTGGCCTGATAACTCGTCTTGAATTTTACACAGCCTGGCCTATCGATCACTTCATATATTTCACCAGAAAAAAATCAATTTGAGATGCTTCACAGTGCGTAAATAGATGTGGACAGAAAAATGGAATATGCTAGCGGGAGAAAAAGGCCTTGGGTTGAGGGGGAAAAAAGCCGGAGGTGAAAACCCATAATGGATTTTACGCTACTCTGTGGGGAAAGGGTAAGTTAAGCAACCTGAAAGATCACAAACAGCCAAGAGCAATCCTTTTCCATTTAAAAACGAAAGCTCAAGCCATTATATTCTTTCATTTCACGCCTGCTTCGGAAACATTTCTTTGTGGAAACAAGTATTTGGAGCTATGACTGACTTAGTGTCAGCCGCGTTCAAATAACCTTGATCATTATTCTTCTAAAGGAAGCTCCTGTCAAAGCATTCTCCTCAGTTGCTAGGCTATTAGCAGCTACTTGCTGCCTGGCTTTTCAGCGCTTCATTCTTTGAGAAAAATGGTCTTTGGGAAGGAAATTATTAACACAGTTTTAATTAACCCAACGGTTAGCCCATACTTCACATCCTCTTCAATCAAAAGTACAAACCCCGTTTCTGGAAAGGCTGACATTTTGTAAAATGCAATAAAAGCAAGAATCTGTGATTTGTTAATTCTTTTGAACCTTCATTTAACTGTCTAAACTACACAGAAAACATTTCCAATGTTTTCACGGACCATATTAATTGTATTTTGTATAGATAAACAAATTTGGAATTTGATGCCTGCAACACACTCAAAACAATGTGGGACAGAGGCGTGTTTACTACTGTGTTACATTATCAATAGTTTGGAAAGTGAGGATACTAACTGTTGCAGTTTTGCAGGTGACATTTGTGACCATTTTTGCTTAATACAAGACTTCAGCTGGTCATCATTGTCTGATTCTCCTCTTCATGATGTGCCAAACATTTTCAAAAGGAGTCAGATCTGGACTGCAGGCAGGCCGGCCAAGCTGTTTCTGCAAAGCCATGCTGTTGTAGCACATGCAGAATGAGACCTAGCATTGTCTCGCTGAAATAACCATGGACTTTCTGGAACAAGACGTCATCTTGATGGCAGCATATGTCTCTCTAAAATCCCAATATATGCCTCAGCGTCAATGGTATCTTCACACGTGCAAATCGCCCATTTTGCTGATGCACCCCCATACCATGCCGGATGTTGACGTTTGCACCTTTTGCTGATTGAAGTCTGGATGAAGAACTAGGAACTCGAAGTCTGTTTTTCCAAAAAAAACATGGACTGACCATTTTCACTGTTCACTGGACCATCTGAGATGAGCTGAGGCCCAGAGAACTCGGCGGCGTTTCTGCTTAGAATTGATGTATGGCTTTCTTCTTACTGAACAGTTTCAAGTTGCATTTCTTGATGCAGCGGCAGACTTTGTTACTTGACAACAGTTTTCCGAAGTAAATTCGAGCCCATGTGGCTATATTTAACACAGTAGCATGACAGTGTCTAATGCAACGCTATCTGAGGGCTTAGAAGGTCACGCGCATTCATGGTTTTCCAGCCTTGTCCTACACAGACTGAGAATTCTCCGGTGAATCTTTTCACAATATTATGTCTGGTCGATGGTGAAAGATCTAAATTCTTTGCAATTTTGCGTTGAGAAATGTTCTTTTGGAATTGTTGGACAATCCTTTCACAAAGTTTGGCACAAAGTGGTGAACCATGACCCATCTTTGCTTGCAAAGACTGAGCCTTTGGTAGATGCTCCTTTTATTCCCAATCATGATACCTTCACTTATTACCAGATCACCTACTTATTTCATAATTGTTTATATTAAAAAATACAATCAGGACATTTATAAGCCATTTCTTTGTACTTTTGTCAGTTAAATGAAGGTTTAAGAGAATTGACAAATCACACATTTTCATTGCATTTTACAAAATTTCAGAGCTCTTCTGAAAATGGGGATTGTATTGGTAAATAATCTCTGATGATTAGTAACACATTAGCAGGCTTCAGATCTGTGTAGCTGGCTGCTAAATCCATGGCATGTGGTAAAAACACTGGGTTGATTTTCAAATGATAAAGCTTTAATGTGGCGCATTCTCAAGTCAATGTGAGAGGAAATGTTATATTATCTTTTATTATCTTGTTTTATTCAGTTCCGTTTTATTCATTCACATTTTTCTCATTCATTTTCCTGTGTTTACTCATTCTGGTCTGCTTTGCTGTTGCTCATCCCATTTTTTTTTCAGCCCAAAAATGATCCCAAAAGAAGAGAACAGTGCTCAACAAATTTGAGTTCCCATGCTGATAAATCTGGAAGCGAAAAAATCTCTGTTTTTGGCAGCTTATCAAAATTTTGGCTTAGTATTTTAAAATAATGACTAATTTATCAAAATATTCACTTATATTGAAACAATTCCTCATTTTCTAAAGATTCTGAGATATTAAGACAAAATATTTATTAGCTATCTAAATAATGAGGTAATCAAGAAAGTACGCGATCATTTCATATGGAGGCCCATTCTCATCAGGTTAATTTTTCTTTTTAATATATCAAAATAATCAATAATTTTTTTTTAAATTGACAATTTATTTTAAAAATAATGACTTATTTTCTCAAAATAACATTTTTGAAATATTGATTTAGTATTTCAAAATAACTTTCTTTACATTTTGAGTTGATCAGATGAAATTTCAATTTGCTACTTTAAAGCGAGTTATCAAATTTGAAGTAAATATTTAAAAAGTTGAGAAAAGATTATTTTTGAAATTAATTTAGTAATTTAAGAAAATAATTGACAAATCAGTTTTAAGAGAAGACATTGTTATGTAACAGAAAGTCACAATTTAGACACAGTGCTGCAAGACACAGAGATAAGCCTTCTTTCCTGCTCTTCTATAAATGCTGGGTGCACTAAAAAGTTCCAGTGCAGTTCTGT